TGAATTTTTTAAAAATATGGACACATGGTCAGATTCTCCAAAATATAGTAAAAACTGATGCCTGCATGTGAAGCCACAGAAAAAGTAGACAAGATGGAGCTGAAGAAAAAATTAAGTATTTCCTGAAATGCATCAAAAATCAAAATGGGGGGCAGGGGAGGTTATTCCTCAGGAGAGTCCCAGAAAGAAGCATGATGAAATTTGGAACTCACACTACTTTTTTACTAGATCAAACCTGACAAATCACTGGTTTTTCTGAGAACCTAGGGAACCTGTTAAACAACAAAGCTGTCAAAATCCAAGCACAAAATCACTTTTTGGTCCTGGCCCAGAGTGTGATGTCACCACATTTCACAAAAGGCCTCCTTGCACAGGATTATATATCTAGATTTAACATAACCTCGTTTCTTCCAAATATAGGTTGTGAAAGGTCTCCTTTCTTTCCACTCCTCCCTCCTTCCAATTCCCTAAAAGAGAAGCTCAGCAGCAAAATAAGACTAATAGCTAATAGCATGGGTAGAAATAAGATCAGAAAAAAATTAATAAGATCCTAATTTCAAATGGCTCTCTGGGAAACGGAAGCTAAATTAGTGTTGGTTAAGGCTGTTACATCCTGGTCTTACACAGTTCAGTGCTCACAGTGAAAAATTAGCCAAAGTTAAGAAATTATAAAGCAGAAAGGCTATTCCAGCAACCTTCTATTACAAGGATTAGAGGTATTAAGTTCATTTTTAATCAAATGTTCAGCAACAACACAAAACAGTAGCATCTTCAGGTATCATTTAGCTCATTAGAAATTATAAACATTTAAAAACTAAAATGACCTGCAGTTTGTTTAAATATGACAGACTACAAAATAATGTCTTAATATAGTACTGTATTACACAAAAAGAAAAGAAGCTCAAACGTTTCCATCCAGTTGTTATGAACTACCAATACATTTTGGAAAACTTAAACCTGGAAGGAAAGAAGAGACCATGTCCCGTCTTCGTACTTCTTGCCTAGCTTGGTTTAAACCCATGCCTAAATCATAATACTATTCTAAAATACTGATCTTTTAAAGAAAAATAAAAGAAGTGAACTTCTTTGAGTTTCTTCAATTCAGTCAGAATGTTACCTTTATATTAACCTTACCCAACTTTCAGGGAGGCTGTCTGCAGAACACACTATCTTTTCTATTTTCCTTTTTTTTTTTTTTTTGGTACCAGGGATCGATCTCCGTTCCTTGCGCTGGCGCGGCAGGCGGCGAAACCATTGAACTAAATCCCCGGCCCTTTTTCTATTATCTAAGGAGTTTGAACTGTTAAGATACCTGCAAACAGTTCTCACCTCACCAGCACGCTTAGTCATCATTGGAATGTGTTACACATTTTCTTGTACACCTGCATTTCCTTCATCTGCTGCTTTCTATTATGACTTTGTAAGTGTACCCTAAGGCTAAGCAATAGAACTGTACAAGGATGGTAATTAATAATTTAAATCGTTCCTTACTGAGACTACCCTTTTTCTGAGTCATCCTTTGAGTCTGTGTTTTCATTACTTTTTCTTTTAAACCACAAGGGTTGTAACAGTGTTTAGCAGTTAGAAAAAAACCCAAAACTTTTCTTTGCAAAGTCAAAAGTTTATGAAGCACCCACATCACATTCACATAATGAAATAGCCAAATGAATTCAATAAAAGCCTGCTCCCAAATAGAGGACTGCTCTAAAAATTACCCACAAAATTTTTCGAATTCAAAGAATATAGAAATAACAGGAAATTCCAGTTTCTTCTTTTCTTTTGGCGTAATCTACAATCCTTCCCAAACCAGGCTGTTCTTGCTAAATCCAGGGGAGGAAAAAAAAAAAAGAAGAAGAAATCTTGGCTAGGACTTACTCCCATTGGCTTCCCCTTCTCTCACACCGGATCAGCTCTGTAGCTTTTTCTCCTCTTCCTTCCCCAGGGGGCCAAGACTCTAGGGACACATTCGCCCATTACCAGGTAGAGGAGGGGTCTCTAAAACTCAAGTCGCAGGAGACAGGCGACGTTTCAAGGGAAAAAACGCTGGGGGAATCCCCTTCCCCTCGGACACGTGCCAGCCTTTCAAGGAACGTCGCCGAGCCGAGCGGAAAGAAGGACCTTTCCCCCTCGGCCTTCAGCGTCTACCGGCCACACCCCTGGCCTGGACCCTCCAAGTCCCCGGACCTCGAAACATTACCCCTTCAGAAAAGCCCCCAACCAGCTGCCACAGCCAGGCAGTCCTTCCTCCCACCATAGCTTCACCTCGATGGAAACCCTTTCTCCAAACCTTTTCCTCACAAAGGTCACACCCGACGACTCCCTCCATCCTCAACGGTCACGCTCCTAGGATTTCCTTTCCTACCCCGGTCTCCGACCGAGCCTGAGGTTCCCAATTCTCGTCCTCTTCCCTCGCTCAACAATTAGGGACACACCTAAAACCAGCAGCCTCGAACTCACCGGAGGCAGGGGTCGGGAGTGGCGGTGGCAGCCAGAGCACAGCCGGGGTGGTGTTGTAATGGTTTCCTGCCCGTCACGTTTCTTTCTCTAGGTCTAAGCCACTGCGCAAAACCCAATTTTGCCAGGGACAAAGATGGTGGGCCGGAAACTTTGACATCAGAGGACCTCGCTTCGTGACGTCATCTGGGTGCGCCGGAGAATCAGAAGGGTAGGCTTCTCTGTCGCCTCGGAGACGGAGACTTCAAAGCCCCCCCCCCCCCCCCCCCCGGTTAGGGTAAGGCGTGGGGACCTGAGGCTTCCAAGATGGTCGATGGTCATCCCAATGGATATATTACACAAATTGATATTCTCTGGATTAGTTTTCTCGCATAGGGATTTTCTTAAACATAGAGGCGAAGAACAAATTTGAAAGCAAACCAACCTCGGCTTATTTTTCTTGCTCAGGAGCTGACAGTGGAGGTGCAGCTCCGGACTATGTACGGGCGGTGAGCCAGAGACGAATGGTGCAAACATAGGGCATTGAGAAGGCGTCTGATCTGTATTCGAATTCCTGCTCTGAATGTGACTGGGAAAATGTTTAACGTCTCAATTACAGTCTTATCTTACTGAAACTTAAATGGTATAGTGGGTAAAACAGAGCGTAATAAATGTGCTTGCACAAAAGTTTCATTCTGAAACTAAGATCTCAATTCCAGGATCTGTAACCGGATAACAAGGATGATGAGAGTAAGTGAAACTGTCTCTAAGGTTTATTTAAAGGTGTGAGGGAGGTTAAAGAGCAAGGGATGGTTAGCTGGTTGTTCCCTCACATTTCTGCCTGTCAACTGTGAGTCAAAAAGTGTGTATTTTGAACTTTCATTCTCACCAGTGTGGTGGCATACACCTGTAATCTCAGCACTGTGGAAGGCTCACACAAAAGGACTGCAAATTTGAGCCCAGCCTGGGCAGCTTTGTGAGATCCTGTCTCAAAATAAACAATAATAATGAAATAAACCTTAGTTCTCAGGTAAGTAATGAGATTTATGTAAAAATTTCAAATGAAATTCATGTGTACCTCCTTTATTAAAATAGGGAGAGTTGGAAATCAAGGTGTAAAACAAGAGAATGTAAACATGGTAAATCAGGTTTTGTATAACATTGTAAAATAATAAATATGAGAAAATTCACAATGTTAAATTAAAAAGCCAAAACAAATATATACAGTATGATTGCATATGTATAAACAAAGGCCAAAAAAGTATTTAAATGTTAAAAGTGGTGAATTACTGAATGGTGACAGGTAACACTTTCAAGTGCTCTAAAGTACATTATGTAGAGTGGATATGTAGAGGGGAAAGCTTGGAGGTTATGATAGTTTAGGATGTTTTTAGAGTTCTATGAAAATAAGACTATATCAATCTATTCACTTATACTTCTGAGGCCTAGTACACCCTTAAAAAACTCAGAATAGGGCCTGGGGATTTAGCTCAGTGGTGCCACCACCTGCCTTGCAAGGTCCCAAGTTTGATCCCTGCTACAAAAAAAAAAAAACCCCAAAACTCAGAATATGTTGAATAAATAAATAAATATATGAATAAATGGTCAACAATACCAGTTGCTAGTGAGAAGGGCTGAAAAGTGTCCACAGGATTTAGTAACAGAGCTGATGATGTCATTGCTCCAAAGATCAGTAGAGATATGAAGGCGATAGCCATGCTGCTAAACTGAGGGTGAACTGGAGGTGAGGAAATAGAAGTAGGAGTTGTGGATATATCATAGGAAACTGAAGAAAGAAGAGTTATAGGATTGTAGTCATACTTGAGGAAGAAAGTTATAGTTTTTTGTTTTTTAGTTTAGCCAGGTATATCTGTAATACCAGCTACCCGAGGCTGAGGCAGGAGGATCACAAGATCAAAGCCAACCTGGGGAACTTAGACCCTTTTTAAGAAAGCCAAAATAAAACAAAACAATAAAAATAAAAAGTTTTGCTCTGAAAAAATAATTTATAAAAAGGGCTGGGGATAATTCAGTGGTAGAGCTCTTGCCTAGCATGCTTATTACCCTGAATTCAATCTCTAGAATAAATAAAGCTTAGTTCTACACTAAATACATTTTTCTCTACACTAACTTATTAGCAACACCATGGGTTTAATCATTTTTCACATGCGTATGACTCCAAAATTTCTCTAGTCTTGACTTATTTTCCAAATTTACTAAATCTACTAACCACTGTCCTGAGTAATTCTAAATTTATGGCCCACCTAAATTAAACAAATAAGGGCACGAAAGGACATTAGAAAAATATGGTTCCAGATACAACTCCTAGTAGCCTGGGAGGATTTTGAATGGAAAATGTCACCAGAAAAATCTTTTAAGAATATTGGTTCAGGGCCGGGGACTTAGCTCAGTGGCACCATGCCTGCCTCACAAGCACAAGGTCCTGAGTTTGAGCCCTGGTACCAAAAAAAAAAAAAAGAATGTTGGTTCATATTTCTCTCCTAGTCAAAAACTTCAAGTGGTTTCTCTTTGACTAACATGCTCAAAATCTATTCTTGCTCTACATTTCCTCATCTCTCTCTGTGCTTTCTTTGGTTTTCTCATCTACAAAAAGAGGGACATAGAAATACCCAGTAATAATATTAATTACAATATTGAAAATGAATTATTATGTAAAGCTCTTAGAATTATGCCTGTCACATCATATGGACTATGTAAACATTTGCTATGGTTGTGATTATTTAGGTAAACGGCACTGAATTGCTGAACCCAGAAACCTAGGGCTTTCTGGCCCCCCCATTACTTCATCTCATACCTCCCAAATTGTCAATTCCACCTTCAAAATGTATCTCAAATTCACCCATTCTCTTTTATTCTACTTCATAAATCTAAGCCAAACTTGGCCTCTTGCCTAGACCAAAAGCTCCTAAATCTGACCATTCTCCACAGAGCAGCCAAGTTTTCAGGGTTTTTTTTTTAAGTTTAGCATACACTCAAAGAGTGGATGCATCATAAATGCAAAAACTTGATATATCAAGTAAATATACCCTGTAACTATCAGAAAATAATCTTTTAAAAATGTAAATCTGTTCACGTCTCTGATATACATACCCTTCAATGCATTCCCATGACTCAAAATTCAGGTTCCTGTATGGTTTGGCTCCTAATATTATTTTATTTGTCTTTTGGCCACTCCTCTTCCCCCCTTTTTCTAGCTACAGTAGCCTTCAAACATTCAAGCTCTTTCTGACCTTAGGGACTTCACAAACACTACCTCTCCTGCCTAATATTCTTTTCTCTGGTTTCTCATAATTTAGGTCTCAGTTCAGTTATGCTTTAGGAAGGGCATTCTCTGATACCCAGTCTAACAGCTTCTTCTCTCCCGTCCCTCCCTGCCACCTTCATCCCATTCTTCTTACTCAACTGTAAATTATATAGGTTTTACTATCTCTCCTACTGGACTATAAACTCCATGAGGGCGGGTACCATGTCTCTTTTTATTAGTTTTATATCCAATATCAAGCATAATGCCTGGCACATAGAAAGTACTATTTATTGAATAAATGAATTTCCACAGTAAGTTGTAAGACCAGCAATTAAAGCCTTCAATAAGTCATCTAAATCTACTTTTCAACTTACCCTCCACTATTTCTGTTCCTCAATGGTTAAAGCAAACTAAGCCATTTCCTTCTCATATGTACTTTATGGTTCTCCCTTAGCCTGTTGACTGTGATAAATGACATTTTTTGGACTGCCTTTCCTTTTCTCATATAGTAACTTCAGTTTGCTTTTGGAGTATCCTCATGGGACTATTAATCAAGGACTATTAATCTAGCTAAGAGTAAAATAAAGTGAAAAGGGAACCTGAGTCAAAATTGGTCAACTGGAACTTGAATCATGAGCACAGTGACAAATATAAACTGATTTAAGCTCATTCATTGTAACAAAGTTGCCTGCATGAGACTTAATTCTTGCTACACAAATCCAGTGGGATTGTGTAGTTGCTTATTTTGTGAGCTACTCCAAGTACTTTTAGTAAATTCTTTTTTATTTTAAAGTAGCCTGTTTCTGTTGCTTGAAACCTGGTCAACACAACTGTTTACCACTTGTTTTAATGTATTTCTAAACTTCATATTTTTGCTGTTCACTTAAATTTATATATATTATAGTAATTATAATCGGCTTGGGGACCAGATATTTTATACAGATACATTAGCTATAAGAATATTTTTCTGGGGACCGGGGGTTTAGCTGAGTGGTTTCACCATCTGCTGCGCAAGCGCAAGGACCCAAGTTCAATCCCCGGTACCAAAAAAAAAAGAATATTTTTTTGGCAGCTATTTCATTAAAGAACATTTTCAAACTATAATCCAGGATAACTTTTACTGTAGAAACAAAACCACCAGATCTTTTCATTATGCAAACTAAGTGCCTACTTTTACATAGGAAGATCCTCTAGAGCAGTGAATACCTTCCATTTTTTGATATTAGCCCAGACGTGGGAAAGGAGTTACGAGAGAGAAGCTGACCTCTGATCCAAATCCAATAAACCTGTATCAGTAACTCAAACAAGAAAAAGTTGTATGCAAACTACATTTTGCAAACTGTATAGTAAATTATATTACTTTTGCTATGCAAACTGTCAAGTTTCCCCAGTTCACGCTTGAGTCATCAGGTCCCTTCACTTTCGCATTATATTCATATCACTAATGTGACACATCCTACTGGGTATGAGGCCAGGAATCATTTTCATCTCATACAGCAAGTGCCTGAAGTTATAATTGGATGTAATACCTGGAAGACAAACTACCACCTTGGATAAAAAGTAACTGTCCCAAGTTCGAAAGAACGAGTAAAACCTTTCTTATTCTACGTACTAAATTTTCTTTATGATTGGAGACAATATAGCTAAAGCTTCTATTTCCTGCGCTATCGCTTCAAGTCCTTTCCGGAAGGCGGCAGAAGGCAAAATGAACAACACCCCTACTGTAAGTGTAGGGAAGACAGCGCCTTCCTATCTCCTAATTCCCTCCCTCCGCCCTTAGATCGGCCGCCCGCCCAGAGATCACAGGCCTCAGTAGGGGCCGGAGCTGAGACGTCGGCGGGGCGCTCCAAGCACTTTGCCAGAGAGACCTCTGTAGAGAGGATTAGACACTTGGCACCTAGGGTACGATGCACAGTTAGCCAGTAAGAATAAAACAAAACAGGAGAGAGTGCATAAGCAAAACTAACCCGCAGGTGACCTCTTTCATTTCAGAGGGCCGGAAGCGGAAGTCACTGGTGGGGGGGGCATAGAGTTTTCTAGTTCCGGTTTCAGGGCGGTGTGCAGGGCTAGAGCGCCTGTCTCTCTTCCGCCAGCCCTCCACAAGATCCCTGCAGCATCTATTTCCGGGTGTGATTCTGTCATAAAGACGAGACCGCCCATCAAACGTGGCGTCGTGGGCCCTTCGCGCTTAGCCCAGGGTCAACGAGCAAGGAAAGGCGCGGGCGGGGGTACTTTGCAGCCAACAACTGGAGCCAGTTTTCGTGTCCCGGGCCCGCTCTGGTACCTACGATCCCTCAGACCACGCTGGCTTTTCAGCCCTCACGATAGAGGGTGACAGTTTTTCATTTCCATAAGACAGCGGCCCTTAGCCATACCTGTTCCCCAGAATCACGACCAGCCCTGTGGGGTGCAGCACTTGACAAGTCACCCCTCCTCACGTACTACACCCGGGTTGGAGTTAACTTTGAGACTTCTTTCCTCCGAATCCAAAGGTCTTTCTGCCTCAGTTGAATTTCACCTGTAAAATTGAAAGTTGGAGATTCGGGTGTCAGGCAGAAAGATTACCTTCAATACTTTGCGCTCATTTGATCCACCACCACCCCCAAAGCGCATGCTCACTAGAGAGTTTGTGGGAAAAGTGAAATCCAGTACACGCAAAATACTATGGCTGAGTACGGGGCTCATATCACAACTGCTTCTGTGGCAGATGACCAGCCATCCATCTTTGAGGTGGTAGCACAAGACAGTTTAATGACAGCAGTGAGACCTGCTCTTCAGCATGTGGTCAAGGTAAGGCATTAATTCTCTGAAAGGTTTCAGGGACGAGAGCGTTAAAATTCAGTAAGTTTTATTTGGCAGTCTAGAGTTGGAAATAACCAATTTGCATATAGTTTATATCCCATGGCCTAATGGATATTTAGTCTTTAGAGCCCTGTAGTGACTTTGGGGAAGTTAAGGTATAAGCTCAAAATAAATGACTTCAGCCAAAAGTGTGTAGAATTTAGGGGGGGAAAGGAAATGTAAATAAATGTACCTGTGTAAAAGAATGAATTTCATTTATTTTGCTTTAGGTTTTTGCAGAATCAAATCCTGCCCACTGGGACTTCCTTTGGAGGTGGTTTGATGAAATCTTTACTCTGCTAGATCTTCTGCTTCAGCAGCATTATCTGTCCAAAACGAGTGCCTCGTTTTCCGAAAACTTCTATGGCTTAAAGCGTATTGTAATGGAGGACTCTCGCAAGGTTCAGACATTGGCCAGTGCTGGTCTCCCCAAGAAGCACCTCTGGAAATCAATTATGTTCCTGGTTCTTCTTCCCTATCTGAAAGTGAAGCTGGAGAAGCTGGTTTCTAGCTTGCGAGAAGAGGATGAATATTCTATTCATCCCCCTTCCTCCCACTGGAAGCGATTTTACAGAGCCTTTCTGGCAGCCTACCCATTTGTTAACATGGCCTGGGAAGGCTGGTTTCTAGTACAGCAACTCCAATACATTCTAGGAAAAGCTCAGCACCACTCACCGTTACTGAGACTGGCTGGAGTTCGACTAGGTCGGCTGACAGTTCAAGATATACAAGCTCTGGAGCAGAGACCCCAAGCCAGTATGATGCAGCAACCAGCCAGGAGGTAAGTCTTAAACATTTCCAAAAACACCTTTTGAACAAACTCTAAAATCTTATTCCAACTTTATCTTCCTCAGTCTACTTCATTTCATAAAATCAGAGTTTTTTTTTCCTGTGTCCATAAAAGAACTGCCATCTGGTAACCTTCCTCATCATATAGTTACATCTTAATGCACACTTGCTATGTGCCAGGCCCTATGTTAGGTGTTTGTTTTATGTACATTATCTCAAGCTTCATTACAATGCAATGAAGTATGTGCTCCATTTAACAACTGGGGGGACCAAGCCCTCACGGCAAAGTATCTTGGCCTAAGCTATCTAGCTGTAAGATGGCAGAGCTGAGATTCAAGGCAGATAATATAGTTCTAAAGGCTGCTCTTTATTGGGGCTGGGGATTTAGATCAGTGGTTCCGCTGCCTGCCTTGAAAGCACAAGGTCCCAAGTTTGATCCCCAGTACCAAAAAAAAAATAAAGACTGCACTTTATCATGATAACTGTAGCTACTTTTAACTACTTGTGCTTTCCAGTAAGTTCAAATATATATAGTGTTCAGTACTGCTAAGTTACTTTTTAAGTGATTTTTTTGTTTCTGGATGCCCCATGTTCTATCCAAAAAAATATCTAATCAAATTCTCTAATAATGTCTTGCTCAAAACAAAAACCTAAATCTTTTATTAAAAATGAAGCTTAGCACCTGTGTACCTAAAATACTATAAGAAAAGAACCATCTAGAATAGATCCTTAAGGAGACAGTGCCAATCTAGCAACTCTTCAATGCTCCAAGCAGTGATTCTGATGAAAAGTATGGAATTGCATTTATACTAGTGATTCTGAGATTATAAAGTTTTTTTCTATGCCTCATTGTTTTCTTTTTCCAACAGTATTAGTAAGAAGATAAAGTCAGCTCTGAAGAAAGGTTTGGGAGGTGTTGCCATGTCCCTCTCTACCGGCCTTTCTGTGAGTGTATTCTTCCTACAGTTCCTTGACTGGTGGTATTCATCTGAAAATCAAGAAACCATCAAATCACTGACCGCCCTGCCTACTCCACCACCACCTGTACACCTAGATTACAACTCTGATTCTCCTCTGTTACCCAAAATGAAAACTGTGTGCCCACTGTGTCGGAAAACCCGGGTGAATGATACTGTTCTTGCCACCTCTGGTTATGTGTTTTGTTATCGTTGTGTGTTTAATTACGTGAGGAGTCACCAAGCTTGTCCCATTACAGGTTATCCAACAGAAGTACAACATCTAATTAAACTGTACTCCCCTGAGAACTGAAAGATTAGCATATTATCTCACAACTTAAATATTGCACTGTAAGGCCACAGGGCTATTTTTTAGCATGGTACATAGCATTGACATCTTTCTGGCCAATTCATAAAGATATTATCTCTGAACTACAATATAGATTTCTTTAATAAAAGGATATGTGCATTTGATCCTAATCTTTTGGTCTGTTCTCTAGACCCCTACTTACAGCTGAGCAAGCTGGTTAAAGTAAGAGCATCAAGACTAGAGGATGTGTTAGCCAACACAGGGGAGGTAAATAAAAAAGAGTAACTAATACAGAAAAATAAGTAGTATAGAAACTCCCAGGAAAACCCCACCTTAGATCTCATAAAGTGGTGGTGAGGGAAAGCAGGCCTCCTCTTTAGAAAAGGAAGTATTTATTAGTCTATGAGGTAGAGATTTTGTCAGTTCATAAACAATATGAAACACAGACTTGCTCTTTATAGAAATACTTAAACATGTTAGGAAAACAAATTCTTTCATATACTGGGACCCATTTATTGAGTGACATCTGCTACAGTTTTTCAGCTTGAGGATTCCTGATGAGCCATACGTATTTCCTTAGGAAGCTGGTTAAAGGAAAATGGGATGAGTATAGAGTGTAGTCTGAAAATTTTAGTGTGACAGCAAAGCTTGCAAGCAGTGAAGAGATAAGTAAAATACCTAATTATAATGAAAAGACCTTTTAATGAACTCTTTCTGCTTATTCTTATTGCTTACTCAACTGGGATGAATTATCCTGGTTGTTACTAAAGTTTCTATGAAACATTTAATTAAATTTTAAAAATAGATGACAAAGAACTGTCATTATGTGGAAACAAATCTTGAGGCATTTAAATTTCCATTCAAACCACCTTTGAGTTTTTGAGGTATTTTTGTATTAGCATTTGGGGGTTTTTGTTGTTGATCCAATAATAAGAGCAAAAATCTTCTGTTCCAACAAGTCTACAACCTCTTGTAAAATACCTTGTATCAGATATACTGCAGAAACACATTGCCTTTGTAACAAAATCTATGCTGCTGGGTTAGCAGGTTGGTGGAAACATGGATTTTAAAGAAAATAAACAGGACAAATGAAAGTATTGTATGTCTTTACCAAGATACATTTTTCCAATACTTTAACTCATTTAGTAATTTATTCAGTTTTGGTTTTTTTGAGACAGGGGCTTGCTATTAGCTCAGGCTGTCCTTGAACTCACTGTGTAGCCCAGGCTGGCCTCCAACTCATAGTGATCCTGCCTCAGCCTCTCGAGAGCTGGGATTACAAGCATGCACCACCATACCTGGCCTTTCATTTAGCAATTTAAAGTACATTCTAATAGCATAAATATGATACAGCTAAATACTGAAATGGAATATCCATCCTGTGGATTTCAAAATATTAAAACTATTACATACTATAAGAGTATAATGGCTATTTTTAAAATTCTTGTTAACACCTCAGAGGTTTTACCAAAAACAAATACCAGTTGATTAAAACACTTTTAATACAGTAATAAGGCAAAAAGGGAAGTGATTCAGATTCAGGATTGAAATAATGTAGTCCTCCATGAAGATTCAAAGCCAGATATTTCACCTTGACCTAAGAAGGAAAAAATGAAAGTATCAGTAATTCAAAAGGATATCAACGAAACTCTCATACATAATGAAAACTAGCATGCAAATAGATTAGAACACACTTATGTATGTGTGTTTTAATGCCACAACCAGATCAGCTCAGAGAGAAGATTATGGGATCATACCCTGGTCAAAGCCAGTACTGAAGCAATGGCAATACCAGGTCAGACTATACTTCGCTCATCATCGCATCATTGCATTTCACCTCCTTGTATTTCCTAAAAGCAGTCAGATGCCCTAATTCCACATGGGAGAAAACTTAGACTTACCTATGGGGGAAAAGTGCTTCTTTTCAGGTAGGTTCCAACTATGAGTTTAATAAATAGTTTATCTTTCACTATGCTTTAACTACCAAAGAGAACGAGTTTTTTGTTTTTGAAACAGAAGAGAATGGAAAAGCATTTACCATTTAAAAATTTTTTTGTTTAAATAAATCCAATTGCCATTTATGATAAAATCTCAGGGATGTTTGTGAAGGGATTCATAGCCTAGCTTTAAAGGAGAAATTTTACAAAAGATGTTCTACTAAATTAGTACAGTTTATTTAATGTAAAATTCAATTTGTAGTTCTGTGGCCAGCAAAGATAAAAATAGTCACAATGCCTGGCACAGTGAATGCACCTGTAGTCCCAGCTACTTTTGAGGCTGAGAAGGTTCACTTAAAACCCAGAAGTTAGAACCTAGCCTCAGCAATGTAACAACACCCGGTCTCTAAAAAAATAGTTACAAAATTTTTATATAAGAGTCTTCTAATATAAGAACCCAAGACTCAAGAGAGGCTATGATTTGACAAAGGTTTATAGCAAATTAACAGCAAAGCCAGAAAGAGAACCGAGGTCTGATTGCCAGATTTACATATATATGATTTTTTTTTTGTACCAGGGATCAAATTCGGGACCTTGCACTTGTGAGGCAGGAGGCAGAACCAATGAGCTAAATCCCCGGCCCAATATATATGTATTTTTTCACTACTAGCTTCCAGGTTCCTGCCCTTTATTAACGGGGCAGGCCACAAGCAGGATCTGGATATTTTGCAACCTAGTAATCAATTTCTGAATGAGGAAGCTGAATGCATTTCAATTATTTAAAATGACATCTGCTGGGCATTTAGCTTGTCCCTGCCTGGCAAGTTCAAGGTCCTGAGTTTGATCCCTGGTACTGAAAAAAAAAAAAAAAAGACACTTTCTGGTGGTATACTATTGCTGATATGGAAGAGTACAACATCACATTCACCTCCAACACTCAACACAATACTGTTAATATTTAATACTGGAGGCATCATATTCTTCCTTCATCATCTATAAATATCAACAGACTGATAATCCACATTTAAAAACTGACAGCTGTTTGTGTTCCCCATTCAGCAACCAAGCTCCATAGAGGGGAAAACAACCAGGTGCCTGTTAACAAGGGTCTATGTTTGACCCTCATCATCCCCCTTCTGTTGAAACAGATCCACATTAGAAATGAGCAAACAAAGGCTGAGAGAGATTAATTTAAGTACCTACCTAGAATCATGAAACTTGTGAGGAATAATAATCTTGAACCAATGTACACCTGACTTTAGAGCCCATGTTCTTTCTATCAGACCATACTGCTGCCTCAATGGGTGCCCTGCCTCCGCTTTCCATCCCATCCAACATAAACACACTAACCTTAAAACACGGAGGTGTGATTATCATTACAACCATTCAATTCCTCCCCATGGTCCAGGAAATAAAATCTGAATTACTTTGCTTAGAATTCAAGATGTTTCAAAGCTAACTGATACAAGAAGCCCTGGGCTCAATCTGCAGCATCAAAAACAAACAAAAATCTTGACCCAAACTTATCCTTAACTAATATTATAACCCTATGTGTGCTTTACCGTTAAATCCAACCCAAAGTATTCCAAAGTCCTCAAACCTGCTCAATTCGACCTTGTGCCTTCCATTTACAAAGTCTTTTCTTCCCTTCTGTTGAAACCCTTCCTGAACTTCAATCCAAGCTCTTTAGTTTGTGACACCCCTCCCCCAAATGCCACCTTTTGCATGAAGCCTTGCTGCATCGATCCAAAAGAAAAATTGTCTTCTGAATTATGGAAGCACATTAGTATCTATTTTGCAGAACTTGTTTCACTTTGTTTTAAGACACAAATAGACATCCAGGGCCGGGATTTAGCTCAGCGGCACTGCGCCTGCCTTGCAAACGCAAGGTCCTGAGTTCGATCTCTGGTACCAAAAACCCAAACCAAACAAACAAACAAAAAACCCCAAATACACATCCAAACATGGAGTTCAAGATCTTTGTTCTTACCAAATATGGCAAATACACTTGCCTAGTTCTCTGCCACTGTACAGCTTGCTCCACCTGGAGGGCCTTCCCACTCCTTTCATGGGGAGAACGCCTAATTACACTTCTAGAAGTACAAGGGGTGATCATAAAACTAGTGAATGTTTAAATTTAAAAAAAAATACAGTCAAAGACACACAGCCAAGAATGACGGGGTATGTTTGAAGCAAGGACTATCTTGAAGGGGATTAATGGCAGACAGCAAGTTCTGATCACCCCTCATTGATCAAACGTTTACAGCAATTTCTGTCAAAAAAAATATTACCGTATGTCCTCATCCACCTTACTCATTGGATCTGGCACCGTGAGACTTCTGGCTCTTCTCCAAAGTCAAAAAGACCATAAAAGGTAAGTGTTTTAAATGATTCAGAACAGGGAGGCAGCCATGACAGCGCAACTAAAGACGTTCCCGAAAGAGGACTTGCAGAACTGCTTCAGAAAGTGGCAAGAAAGATGGGCTAAGTGTTTGAAGCCAGGGGGACTAATGGCAATGTGTCTTTTACTGTAATAAAATGGGGGGGGGGGTTGTTAAGCATTCACTGTATTTTTAAAAATCACACCTCGTACTTAAATGTCCCCTTTTCTTAAGTGTTCCTACCCCCTCAGTTATCCTTTCCTTTGCCTCCCACTGCCCTTTTTTTCACCATACGTCAAACTACTGACCAGTTCAAGTTTTCCTTTATCTCTCCCAGCAGTCCAATCACAAGGATTTCCTTAACCACCAGGACTGTGTCTTACGTGCCTGGTACATAGGAGTTCAATAAATAAGCGTTTAATTCAGTCCATGAGCGACACTCCCAACTAAACTCTAAATATTAGCACAATTTATAAAGCCGACTTACCTCCAATATGTCACGTGGGTAAGGACCATACTTCAAGCATCTCTAAGCCCTCATTCCCCATCTCTACCTCAAACTCTTTGCACAGATTCCTGCGCGGGAGAGCCAATGCCTTACACAACTGATCCTCAGAATAAAGTCCAAACCTCGACAACTTCAGGAAAAACCAAAGCCATCCTTGTGGGAAAACAGAAATAAGACACAAACAAACTCTCCAAGCAGGAAGCAGCAACCGGCTTTCCGAACTCCTAACTCTCCTACGCCTGGGAGAAACAAGAAACAAGTACCATCCTGAGAAAGATGGCACCCAGACTCCCAGATTCTCGGACAGGTACAGATTCGCTCCCCTTGTCCTCTCTTCTCTAATACCAAGCCCGCATCCCAAAGCTCAGCGCGGCGCTAGCCGGATAACCAATCCTGAGGCAGCTAGAGGATCACGTGGGCGGCACCGGGGGGGTGGGACTAGTATAAAGAACAGCCAATCGGAGGCCGAGGCGAACGTCAGGGGGTAGAGTTGGCGGCACAGCCGTCCCACCTTTGCGTCACTTCATTGCGTTGTGGCGTTTATTCTGGGCGTTCAGTTACTTGTTCTCCGAGTAATCTGTTCCCCCCCCCCTTCACCTGTAGTTCTCTGCCCTCAGACCTCGGAGCGACTGTTAGACCGGGTTATTTCACCCGTGCCTGGTTTCATAACTAGGGAAGGACCTCAGCGGGCGGAGTCGAAGTGTGTGTGTGCCCTGTTGATTCAGATTGTGACCCCACTGGATTAGCTGGTCCCGGATTGCCTCCGAGAGCTAGGAGTTGGGGTGGACTCACAAATGAAGATGGCCCTCCAAAACCAGGGGTAACGCGGTTGGCTGGGCTTTTGGACGCTTCCGGCATCTTTTTTATTTAGGAAGCATCTCAAGGCAGGAGTGAAGCCAAATGCTGGGATTACAAGCACATCTAGGCATTGTGACACAAAACCCAGCACTCTGGGAGGCTGAGGCAGTAGGATCGCGAATTGGAGCCCAGCCTGAGTGATTTAGCCAATAAAATAAATCTCAAGTAAATGAATAAAATTTAAACAAAAAGGGTTAGGGATGTAGCTCAATGTGAAAGTCGTGGGTTCAAACCTCAGTACAGGGCACCACACACAGTGCTACAAGAAAAGTGCCCCTAAGTACTAAAGTGGAAGGGGAGCAGGAAAGACTTTCTGAGAGAAGTAGCATTCCATCTGCGCTGTTGCAGGATTTGAGAATTAGGAGATCCTAGAAGAAGAACTTTAAGTTCAAAAATCAGCAGAAAAAGAGAGTTTACTAAATTTAGGTAAAGTTAGTGCAGTTGGTGAGATTTTTCTAAAAATTCTGTGAGGTTAGGAATACCCAGAGAAACCTGTTAGCAATAGTCTGTCTTCATAAAAGCAAACCGTACCCTCCCGACCCCTGCTTGGGGACTAACTCAGATCCGCCTCATCAGATACTTGGGATTGAGGCCAGGTTTAAATTTCCCAGGAGTGATTTAAGGACTAGCTGGGCATGGTGTTTCAGATTGTAATCCCAGCACTCTGGGAGGCAGGGGCCAGAAGATCACAAATTCGAGCCCAACCTGGGCAATTTAGCAAGAGTACCATCTTCAGAAAGGTGCACGCGCGGGGGTTAGGGGTTGGAGTGTTAATTCAAATGCCTTAGGTTCAATCCCCAGTACTGGAATTTTTTTTTAAATTTAAGAATTGGTGTCAATGTTAAAGAGAAGGAGTGATAGTAGATTGCAAAAACAGGTCAGGACTTTGCTAAGGATACTAGCTGGTTGGCTCTGTAGTCCAAATTACTTTAGGGAAAGAGAGAATTGAACATTTTAGAGTTAGTGATCAAAGATGTACTTAAGAGAACTCAATCTGCAACTGTGTTTAGATTAGAGGGAGCAGAGGGGAAGCTACTGCAAGGTGAGAGAGCGTAAATGAGACATGTGCAGTGGAAAAGGAGAGATACAAAGGAAAGCAAATGAGGATTGCAGTGGGTGTCAGGTACAGACAGAAAGATGTGAAGAAATGACAAGGAAAATGGAGGGAAATGGAGACTTTTCTGTACCAGAACCACACAGGACCTCCCTTGTACAAAACAGAGCAGGTTAGACAGTGAAAGGAATGTGCCTTTGCACTTGCTGTTTCCTCTGCCTGAGCTGTGCTTTTCTTTTCTATCTCCTTTTCTCAACCCAGTGCATTCTTTCTGACAGGTTCCAAGCTCACTCATCATGTCATTTGGGAATTCCACTGATTCTCAAGAGCATAGTTAGTGTCACTCCTCCGGGTACTGGGTGCACACTGCTCATGCATTGCTGAAGTTTGTCATTTATAAGATAGTGAAAATAATGCATGCTTTGCACAGTGTTATGAGGATTATATGAGAGAATAAAAGTTGCATATCTGGCCCAAATGAGGCAGTCACTAAATTCCAATTTTTATTTTGGTGGATAGCTCCAGAGAATACACCATGTTTGGAACATAGTAATTGCTCGATAATTGATTATTGAATGAACAGCTAACATTTTGAATGGACATTCTTGCAAGTACTGAGTGGAGAAGGCACCATTATTATCTCCAAATTTCCCCAATGGGTTCTGAGGTTTAGATTGGCTTAACCAAGATCTCGTAGCTAGAATGTGTCAGAGTTAGGATTTTAACTCCCTTGGTACCCCAAAACAGCCGATTGAGTGAAAGAAGGAATGAATGAAAACTTGCCCAACGTCAGGCAATGGCATGGCACAGCAAGGACTGTTACTCTTTTTCTTTTTTTTTGTACCGGGGATTGAACTCGGGTCCTTGTGCTTGCACAGCAGGCGGCCAAACCACTGAGCTAAATCCCCAGCCTGAAGGACTGTTGCTCTTGGTCACTATGTTATCAATACATTTCCACTCACCACCTGGTGGTTAAGAGACTGACCCTTGTCCTTCAGCTAGTTTGTGTGTGCTAAACATGCAGGCTGTGCCATAACTATCACTACTGAGAGACCAAAATGCTTTGTGAATGAACACATCTTAAATAAATTGGGGGCTCTGGTTCTGGCTCTAGTTCTTTAATCAACAGCATGCCCAGATAACTTTCCCAAGACCTACAAAAAACCATTGTCCACACTACTGATTTCAAGCTGCTTTGTACAAGGAACGTTTACTTTGGATATATCAAGATGTGAGATCTTCTCTATCCTGACAACCTAACTCTTCATATCCCAGGAGCTTGACCAAAGAGCTTTGCAGAAAGAAAAGAAACCCCATTTGCCCACCCTTTTTTTTTTTCAGACAAAACCTTTTATTTTAAACCAAAAATAGTCAGCAGGTGGCCACAACTATCCATGTTTCATTAAAATTCCATAAAACCTAGGTACAAAAGCACCACTGATTATTGCTCTAGAAAAATTGCATGAAAAATTCAAATATGCACAGTAAAAACACCACAGTATGCACAGGACTAAATTCTTAAAGCAGGTGCATGGACTGCTCAATCAGTTTTATACACAGCTTCTAATATTAAGATGGTATTTATTTTACTTGATAATAATGAAAAATTCCAAAAAGCATGACTATGAGAGGGTAAAATGTCCATCCTTATATACTTTGCCTACCAGTAGAGTCCTAAAAAATTTGCATTTACAAAATACTTGGTACAAATAGCTTTTAAAAAGTGTCCCAAGAGGTACATAAAATCACCCCCAACTTTTTGTGGCCATTTCTTCTCCCTCGTTATCTACAGATTCAGTTTTCTGTGCCTCTTCAGCTTTAGTTTCACCATTTTCAGATGGAGTAGTACCTTCCTTTCCAGTTTCTTGCTTTTCTTCCTTCTTCCCTTTAGCACCTCTGTTAACCTTTGTTCCAGGTTCTTTCTTAGTAGATGTTTTTCTTGGTTTAGGTTCAGGTTTTAGTGGAGCAGGTTTCGTGGACAATCTGGCAGGCCATCTTGTGGGTTCCTGTTTAGTTACTTTGGATCCATCTTTGCCCTCTGTATTCTCTGAAGACTTTCTCTTCCACATAATGACCATCGGGTCGGCGGGAAGTACAGCGACCAGCTCGGACTGTGGACTCCTGGATGCCACCTAGCCGCGCCGCCGCTCCCACGCAGGGCCGCCTGCCCATCCTTTATATTATCTCCCTTTCTGCTGGCTTGATCCCCTATAGTGGACTGTAGAAGAATAAGAAGGGAACAACAAACTAGTTAGGAGTTCTCCTGCCCAACTAATGTTCTTCCTATTGACTAGGAGGAAAGGGAAGGTACTTAAGGGGAATTCTAATTTGGAAAGCTCTCAAGCAACCCAGAATCCCAAGCTCAAAAGGCAGTGAACAAAATAAAACCAGTTTTAAGCCTGTGCTCTTCCACTTATTGGCCATGTAATCTGTTTCCAGGTAGAACATATTGCTACCAGCACGGTCCCTTGCATCTAGTAATGCATTTCCAGCAAATGGTGGTCATTTTTATCCTTCTAAACATAAATAATAGCTGAGAGATTTCAGTGTGAAAGTGAGGCTGAGAATTAAGGTAAATAGTAAGACCAAAAATGAGACTGGATTCAGAAGTGACATGAATGAAAAGGAGTTAAACTTGACGCGGAGATAAAGCTTTAAAAGTTTACTGTGTTGTTGGGTGATCATACGTCAAAGTATCCATTCTGCCTCTTATCTTGGAAACTTTTCAGCCAAACGTGGGCAAAGGATAATGCTAGCCAAAGCAGAACTTTGTCAGGGTAGAAGCCTTAAGTTAAAAAGATAAAATAAGATTGTCTAGAGACCTATTTAAGAATGTCATGCCATCATAAACAAATTGAAGTACAAACTGAGCGTGAGGGTACCTGACGGTAATTCCAGCACTTTAGGAGGCTGAGGTAAGAGGACTATAAATTTCAACCCAGTCTGGGCAATTTAGCAAGACCTTGGCCCAAACAAAACAAACAAACAAACAAACCCTCAAAAACAAATTGAAGTAGAAACACAGAATTGATCACTGGTTTGATTTAGAGAGAAGTTAATTACTTTCCTATGGCTGCTATGACAAATAACAAATTATCACAAAGTAGTGGCTTAAAACAGCAGAAATGTGCATTTTGTTTTTTGGTACTGGAAATTGAATCTAGAGTCTTCACACTGAATTACATTCCCAGCCCTTTTTGTTTTTTATTTTGAGTCAGTGTCTCACTAAATTGCCCAGGCAGGCCTCCAACTTGCAATCCTCCTGCCTCTACCTCCCCAAGTAGCTGGGATTACAGGCTTCAATGACCACACCCAGTAGGTATTTATTTAGTGGTACTGGGGACTGAACCCAGGGCATCTGCACTGAGCTACATCCCCAGTATAATTTCATTTTTTTTTCTTTTTCCTTCCCCAGATCCTAAAGCCCAGTAGTGGGTTCTGTACATGAATATGGCTACTCAGGACTGCTGCTTCCTTGTGCCTGTCTCCTCCAGCCCACCCCATCATGCATACCCCATACCCATGCCCTTCCCCCCATGTGTCTCCAACTTCCTCTCACCTTCCCAGACCTTCACTCACTTTTCCCACAGATTTTAATACCATCCCACACCTTCCTTCCTAATGTTTTGACTTTATTTATTCTTTTTGAAACAGCATCTCAAATGTACTTCAGATTGGCCTTGAACTCACTGTGTAGCCCAGGGTGGCCTCAAACTCATGGTGAGCCTCCTCAGGCTTGCACCACCATGCCAGACAAGGTCTGATTAAGTTACTACATTGCCCAGGCTGGGCTTTAACTTGTGACCTTCCAGCCTCAGCCTCCCAGAGTGCTGAGATTATGGGAATATACCACCATGTCTGGCTCCAGCTGGTTTTTTTTTAAATAGATCTTTTATAGTTAGAAGTTTAACATCAGTTTCATTAGGCCTCTGGTGTTAGCAAGACCCTACTCCAAAAACTCTAGGGGAGCTAGGTGGCACAAGCCTGTAATCCCAGTACTTGGGAGGCTGAGGCAGGAGGGTCACAAGTTCAAGTCTCACCTGGGCAATTTACCAAGACTTGGTCTCAAAATAAAAAGTAAATATGGCTTGAGATGTAGCTTAGTGCAAAGGCCTTGGGTTCAATCCTTAGTACCACAAAAAAAAGAAAAAAAAAACTCTTAGGAGAAGCCATTCCTTTTCTCTCCCATCTTCTACCAAGTGCCAGCATCCCTTTCCCTGTGACTAAGTCACTCCCATATCTACCTCTATGATTACATTGCTTCTGCCTGTTCTGTGTAGATGAAATCTCTCTCTGTCTCTCGCCTATGTATCTCTTGTGATTGGGTTTAGGATCCTCCAAGTAATTCATGATAATCTCTATTTCCCTGTTGCAAATCTTTAATCAAATCTGAATAGACCATGTTTCTGTATAACATAACATTTACAAGTTCATTACAACAACAACAACAACAACAACAACAACAGCTGGCTGCTAGTTAGCCTGCTATGAGAAGTTTGAATCAGTTTAGACAACATCTCTAAATGAGATACTTGGCTCTCATCTGTTTGCTTTTGCTATTTGTTTTCTTTTTCTTTTCTTTTTTTTTTTTTTGGTACCAGGGATCGAACTCGGGACTTTCTGCTTGCAAGGCAGGCAGTGGAACCACTGAGCTAAATCTCCAGCCCTATTTGTTTTCCATTGTAAAATAATTCATTCTCATTGTAAGCCATTAAATACAGTACAGTTGAAGAAAAGAAAGGGAAATAAAATAAATTAAATAAAAAATTACTCCCAACCAGGGCTACACAGCTCCTTAACTAAGTGCATTTTTCTAGGCTGAGTCTTATGCTATCAAAGAGGAATAACAGGAAAAAGAACAAAAGTAAATAGGTTAGAACAAGAAATTTGGAAGGTAAAGAAATAAATTAATACTGCTCTCAATGAATATGTACAGTAAAGCTTAATTTAAGATGAATGTAGAGCTTGCAAACAAAATTAACCAGGGCAGAGGTGCTTGCATGATGTGTGCAATTAATGCTCATGCCCTTAGAGGTTATAAATTTAACTTTGGCTACTAACTCAAGACGCTGAGTTTTCACATTATAAGGACCTGATTCACTCCCTGAGGTCAGACTCTGGCCTGGTAATCTGCCCTGACACAAGGTCTTCTTGAGACCTTATCAGTCTCCCTCAGTGGGTCAATGTTATGAAGACTTGGGGAGTCTGGGAAGAGTTCCTCCCCCTCCCAGGCTGCTATCAAAGGGCAACAGGGACCATGACAGAAAGCAAACATTCAGACCAAAGCCAGATGTGGAACTGAAGCAGCAAAAGAAAACAAAGAACATCAGGTAAAAAAAAAAATTTAAATCTCATTTATCTTATTTTAGGTGCAGTTTATGTCTGAGAACATGAATGGGTTATTAAAATAGTAACTAACTTGTGAAAGAAAATGAGTGAGAACTTCTGGGAAGGATAGAAGGATACTCAAATGGACCTAGAATCTCGGAACACTGTCTTGTTTCATGGTTGTTATCAGCCTTCACGTACCATCAATGAGACATAGGAGTCATGAGACTATAGGGTCTGCTAGTTCAGCATCAGTTAGATTTGTGTTGTGGGTCCCATTAGAGTGGGAAAGTTATGGGGAGACAAATTGTAGTCATTCTAACAATAAGATAACATAAAACAGAATGACCTGCTTTAAAAGCTATCATAAAATAGAATTAACAATTTTTAAAAAAATAATGCATTACTACCTGCCAGAAAATAGAACGCACTACTTTTTTTTTTTTGTACTGGGGATCAAACTTGAGTCCTTGCGCTTGTGCAGCAGGAGGCGAAACCACTGAACTAAATCCCCGGCCTCACTACTTTTTTTTTTTATACCACGAGAATGTTTATTTTGCAAGTGTTTTTTAACTCTTTTACCACAACTTCTCCACATTGTTATATAATTCTTTTTCCTAGACTTTAAAAACATTCAGTAGAATTTGTCAGGATTTAAAAGGGAAAAATACATTCTTCCAGCTGAATAATATTAGGTTCAAGGTAGAGATTATGAGCTTTTTGAATACCAAGACTTAAAGGTGCTGGGGGTCACATTTATTTGTAGCCCTGATGTCCAAGTAGGAAAATATCTTTTATAAACTGTAACAAAGCTTTCACCTGAAAATACAGCTCTCTGAAATTTATACAATTATATCCATTTCCAACGGCTTTAAAAGTAGAATGGACTGCATTAAAAGATAAGGCATTAGCCGGGGATTTAGCTCAGTGGTTCCGCCGCCTGCCTTGCAAGCTCAAGGACCCAAGTTCGATCCATGGTACCAAAAAAACAAAACACAAAAAACCAATAAACAAAGATAATGCGTTATTAGTCACTGGAAATGTTCATTTCTTGGGAGTTGGGAGTATTACAGAAGGGATTTAAGAATTAGATGGATGGTTGGGCTAGAAGATTTGTAAAATCGCTTCCAACACTTGTGTGATTCTATGATATCAATAAGATGTTATTTATCGAAGATCCGTAAAATATCACATTTATGTGGGAGAGGCTTACAGATTGAAAAGAGTTCCTCAGGTGGATTCTGGTTTGTATGAAGGAAGTGAGAAGGTAATCAAGAGCACACTAACTCAGAGGAGGACACATGTCCTGTTGGATGCCTGTTCTTCCTTCTGAGGCTAAATGACACCCACAGGAGACCTTGCTTGGCAAGCATCACATAGGCAATGATAGGCGCCCTTCTCCCAGAGCTTGACCTTTGGATTGCATTAGTAAATGTTTTGTTTTGCAAGTAATCAAAGCCAAGGAGGTCTTTTCTGAAGTATTTGCTTCAGACCAATTTAGGAGGCTGTTCTCCAGTCTATGAAGCAAAAGGAGAGTTGACCAGTTGAATGACCATGCCCCAAAGACTCATGTTCTTTTCCAAGTTTTAGAGATTCCCATAGCACAGAACAGGTTATTAGAAAGGAAGGAAAATTCCTACTTCCTCATCACATTATACAAAAAGAGATGCATTTTTTAGAATTTATAAGAGTGTGTGAAGAGCTAAAAAAGATTTCTGCATTTGGTACTTATTGACAATATTTCAGGAGTAGAATAAGCCTTTTGTTTTGTTTTGTTTTTGGTTTAGAACATTGCCCTTTACTATGACTGTGAGCTACAAAAAATTGAAAGAAAAAACCACACACACATACTCACAGATAAACTGCATAGCCCTCACACTCCACAGATCTTCATGACAATCATTGTCTGAAAATACCATACAGATATTTCCAGAGTAGATAACGTACACATTTGAAAGATATTTCAGTTGTGTTTATTTATTTTTCTTATTCTGGTATTTTACTGGTAGATTTCTCTTTAGAATAAAGCTTTTAAAATGTATAAAATAACACATTAAAATACAAAAATTATATATCTTATCTTTAATCCAAATTTTAATTTTTATTAATACACGTTTCTGGTACATAATGATTACATTAATCTTATATTAACTTGATATATGTACATAACACATCTTAATTCTTTTTATGTCTTCTTCCCCATTTTATGATCTTCATTTTATTAGTACATGTTTGCAGGACATAATGATTACATTTTGTGGCAAAATTGTATTTTTTTTTTTTTTTTCAGTACTGGGGATCAAACTCGGGACCTTGTGCATTCGAGGCAGGGGGCGGCACCACTGAGTTTAATCCCCGGCCCCAAAATTGTATGTTTTAATATCAAGACCTATAGTACATATATTCCTTAGTTCTCTATTGCTCTTTATTTCTCCTTTGAATTATAAATAGGAGCATCCTCTGATTTCAACTGTCATTTCTGCATATTCTCTAATAGCTTCCTTTGGCTCGCTAACCCATGCCCTTTACATCTGGGCTCAATGTTGTTGTTTCCTGATTTTAAGTGAAAATGGCTGGCAATTTCAGCAATCTGATTTTTCATTATGGCAAAATGTTAATCATTCACTTTTATCTATGCTTATACTTGCAAGAAAGGCTAAGGATATTTGGCAATGTTGTTAGAAAACAGTAATAACTATTTCCAATGTTAAAATGTATCTTCAATAACTTATAGCTTTGAAGAAAGTATTGTCTTCTCTGGAGTTCTCACTAATGTGGAAACAGCATTTGTCTCTCGATTATTTATAGGAGCATATTTCTGCTACTCACTGAGGAACAGAGGGGCTACTGAGATGGAGAATCACAAGACTGATACAGAGATGGTCTATGGTGAGCTCACTGTAAAAGTGGGCAGAATTACTTTTGGAGAAGAAAATAGGAAGAAGATGACCAATGCCTGTTTGAAGAGAACTGAGAATTCAAAAATCATCCAGGCTATCTGTGCGCTGCTAAATTCTGGAGGGGGTGTGATCAAAGCAGAGATTGATGATAAAACCTATAGTTACCAATGCCATGGGCTGGGGCAAGATTTGGAAACTTCATTTCAAAAGCTTCTTCCATCAGGTTCACAGAAATACCTGGACTACATGCAGCAGGAACATGATCTCCTGATTTTTGTAAAGTCATGGAGCCCAGATGTTTTCAGCCTCCCACTGAGGATTTGCAGCTTGCGTTCTAATTTATATCAGAGAGATATAACCTCTGCTACCAACTTGAGTGCCAGCAGTGCCCTGGAGCTTCTAAGAGAGAAGGCATATAGAGCCCAAAGAGGTAGACCAAAGTTGCATCCTCAGAAAGTTCTCAAAAAATATGTTCAGGAAGAGGAAGATATGAGGACATCTGCCTTGGAATTTTTAGAAAAGGAGAAACTCACATATAAGGAGAAGCTCAACTTTACGGAATCAATACATGTTGAGTTTAAAAGGTTCACTACCAAAAAAGTTGTACCTCGGATTAAAGAGATGCTGCCTCGTTATATCTCTGCTTTTGCCAACACTCAAGGGGGATACCTAATTATTGGGGTTGATGATAAGAGCAAAGAAGTGTTTGGATGTAAGAGAGAAAAAGTGAACCCTGACTTATTAAAAAAAGAAATAGAAAACTGCATAGATAAACTGCCCACGTTCCACTTCTGTTGTAAGAAGCCCAAGGTGAATTTCACTACCAAAATCTTGAACGTGTATCAGAAAGATGCCCTGTATGGCTATGTCTGTGTGGTTCAAGTAGAGCCCTTCTGTTGTGTAGTGTTTGCAGAGGACCCGGATTCCTGGATCATGAGGGACAAATCTGTCACCAGGCTGACAGCTGAGCAGTGGGTAGTCATGATGCTGGACATTCAGTCAGGTAAAGAGGGGGGAAGTCATTGTCCAATCAGCAGGGAGGAGCCCATTTCTCTTTTTTTCTTTTTTTTTCTTTTTTTTTTTTTTTTTTTTGAGTATTCAGACATACATTCTAGGTAAAAATAGAATTTGTTCTTGTTTATAAAGGTTCTCTCATGATAGGGAATTAATATTTTTAATTCCAAAAACTCAGAGCCTGAACTCTTTGATGTCAAGAAATGCTAAGATTTCAATTTGTTTTGGTTTTCTTTGTTTGTTTGTTCATGTTTTGAGATAGGCTGTCCTTGAACTCACATGATCCTCCTGCCTCGACCTCCTGAAAGCTGGGATTACAGGCATGTGCCACCACACCTGGAAATTTCAATCTTCTTTTTGGAAAAGTTGTAGTACACATCATCAGCCATTTGTGAAAATTTTCTTTTATGCACTGTAAAGACCGGTTGAAAAAAGTTTGCAGGGTGATTTTCCTAGTTTAAATAGAAAGTCTCACTCTAAAGACGATCTTCAGAGAAACATTATTAAAGAATGACTCTGCACTAAATCTTTCAAGGGATACATTTTTTGACAAACTTGAACTATTTTAATATTAGGAGATAATACTTTTATCACTGGGCTTGGGGAAATGATGCAGAAGGTGGTATTACGATAGGGGATGGCAGTGGGGGAAGGGAGCCCCCAGTGTTTTTACTTCCCTTACAGTTTTGTTGGAATCAGCCTTGGTGATTCCTAATCAATTTGTACAAGTCTTATAGACTGAACTAAATTTATGAGCTTGCCTTTGCAGTCAGTATGTTCTAAATTCAATAAAAGAAGCTTGGATCATTAGATCAAGACTTGAGTGATTGGAGAATTTTATTGGATTGTTGTTTTTTTTGTCCTAAATTTGGTCCTAAATCCTCTTTACCCCCAAACTAGACATTCTATAATGTTCATTTCCATCTAACCTTGGACAGAGATTTAAACAATAATTGCAACAATAAAAACAACTTGTGCTCCATCTTTCTAACTCCTACAAGATGTCTTTTCCTCTTAGAGATGACCTGGATTAAGACACCAGCATTGGAAGAGAATTTAAGAATTATCATTTCACTCTTGCATGAGTGGTGGAATGGCCCATTCAAGATGAGTCATGCAGGGAGTTAAAATATGCATGACTTCTGGAGCAGCCCTGAGACTTCATTTCCTGACACGCAAACTGAAGTATAGCAAGGGAGACAGCAACTCAGACATCACACGCATCTCATGTCTCCGGTAGGAAGGGTGATACAGAGTCCTTTTGCTTTTATTTTTGTCTGACACAACTTTCTATGCAATTGTTCAGCTCCTTCCAGTCTGGCCACAGACAACAATGCTCATCCGCTCGCATCAGCTTCATCTCCACTAAGAAGCCCAGCATATGCCATAAAAGTCTCGAAATTTAAGGGGGCTCTGCAACAATGTTTGTTTCCAGGTATTCTTTCTTGATTTCAGTGGAGGGGACTATTTGTTTTGTAAAACTAAGTTGTGGGGTGGGGATATGACTCACAGGGAAAGCATATGGGGTAGCATGTGCAAGGCCCTGTGTTCAATCCTCAAGACTGGAAAAAAAAAAAAAAAAACCTCGGAGGAATTGGTATTTCTTCTTAAAGAAAGCCAAATGTAGGACTTAGCAGACATCCTGGAAAAAAAAATATACGTCTTATTTCCCAGTCACCAAATCCCCCACTGCACCTCTGTGGGCTGTTGGACTTTAGGTCGCAGATAGCTTTTCTTCTCCAAATTTGAGAGTGCTGAGTATTCCTCCATTCTCTATTGAAACAAAATTGCCATCTGGCTTTCAGTAGAGAAGAAGCTATGGGGTCTTCTGAACCGCTTCTAAAGCAGAGTTTCTTTCTTTTTTTTTTTGGTACCGGGGATCGAACTTGGGTCCTTGCACTTGTGCAGCAGGTGGCCAAACCACTGAGCTAAATCCCTGGCCCTCAAAGCAGAGTTTCTTAACCTCAGTGCTGTTGACATTTGAGTCGCATAATCCTTTATCGGGAGAAGGGTTTGTGTGTGTCCTGTGCGTTGCTGAGTTTTCGCAGCATTCCTGGCCTCTGCCCTCTAGATACCAGTAGCATCCCTCCAGTTGTAACAAAAATTCTCCAGACATTGTCAAGTGTCCTCTAGCCAGGGGACAAAATTGCCTCTGGTTAAGAATCACTATCATCAAGGAAAGTTCTTAGTTTCCCAAATGATACATCAGGTTCACAAAAAACCCTGAACAAGAAGGAGTGCCTTCTCAGCGCTTGTGGACCTGGGTTGAGGAAAAGATGCTAGAGACTGTTCTTTGATGAACCCTCCTGGTGCTAGAGCTGTAAGAAATAAGAACTGATTATATCCCTGGGCTGTGAAGAGGGGTTGTTCTCGTGGCAACCAGGAAACCCCTTTTCCTGCCCTGATGCAGAAATACACTATGTTTTTTTAAGTTTTGGTAACTACTTCTCTTCCTTGAATTTTCAGTGACACGGGAAGAAATACATTTTAAACCAGAATCCCTCTGTGAGAAGCTATTCTCAGATCATAAGGGACTGGAGGAATTAATGAAGACACAGATACATCCTTGTTCTCAGGGGATTGTAATATTTTCAAGAAGCTGGGCTGGTGATATTGGCCTAAGGAAAGAGCAGAAGGTTCTGTGTGATGCTCTCCTGATAGCAGTTAACAGCCCCCTGGTACTCTATACAATCCTAATAGACCCCAGTTGGATTGGAGGACCTGGATATGCCCACGACACAGCTTGTCAGCTAAAGCAGAAACTTCAGGCTGTTGGTGGCTACACAGGGAAGGTGTGTGTCATTCCAAGGCTGATGCACCTGACCAGCACCCAGTGTAGACCTGCAGAATATCTAGTGCACTATCCCCAATCCTACAGCCTTGCCAGTGAGAATGAAATGGAGGACTTGTTACAGGCCCTTGTGGTCATCTCACTGTGCTCTCAGTCTCTTCTGAGTGACCAGCTGGGTTGTGAGTTTTCCAACCTGCTTGTAGCAGAGCAGTGTGAATTGCTATCCAAGAGCCTTCAGGAAACCCGGGAATTGTTCATCTACTGCTTTCCAGGAACCAGGAGGACGGCCCTAGCCATAAAGATCATGGAGAAAATTAAGGACTTGTTCCATTGCAAACCAAAAGAGATCCTCTATGTCTGTGAAAGTGACTCCTTACGGGATTTCGTGATGTAAGAATTTTACCACCTAAACTTTAAAAAATGTAGTGACACAAAAGTGACTTGAGTTTTTAGTTTAGGTCTATATAGTGTCTCTTTGCTGCATAAGTGCAAGAGGCCTAATCAAATACATATTTCCAAATGATCAGGTAGTTGAGGCACAAATGGGCTATTTATTTACTTATTTATTTTTCCAGTACTGGGGATCAGACTCAGGACCTTGCCCTTGTGAGGCAGGCACAGCGCCATTGTGCTAAATCCCTGGCCCGAAATGAGTGTTTATAATGTTTGAGCTTAAATATTTCATTATAAGTAAGCCAAGTAAGCATAACTTTAAATTTATAAAACTAGGAACATTTTCCCCACAATCTGTGGCCTTAAATCTAAGAAAAATAGAAATAAAGCTCATTTGCTTTAAACACATTTTTTTGATACTTAAAGTTTTAAAGTCATAAGGTTAGTCACTATACCTAGCAGGAATTTGAATTTAAATATAATTTGTTCATTCATTCTTTATTTTTGTTGTTTGTTTGTTTTTTGAGATAGCGTCTCCTTATTAGTTCAGGCTGGTCTTGAACTCACTATGTAGCCCAGGCTGGCCTCTTGTGGGAATCCTCCTGCCTCAGCCTCCCAAGTCCTGGGATTACAGGTGTGCATCAGCATGCCTGGCTAAATACAATTTAATTTTGTTTATAAAATATTTTCATCTGTATGACTTGTTCTGAATAATAATTTTAGGAGAGCATGCCAACTTGGTTTTCATTAAAATCTCTAGCTTTTAATTTAGTAAAATAATTAGTTCATCATACAATTTAGCAGATGAGGGCAAAATAATTTTGATTTTTTTTCTTGATTTACTTATTACACAACAAATCTTTTTAGTAGAATTTACATGTTAGACATTGGATTGTCTGACATTTAGTGTTAGAGGGGAAAACATATCGAAGACCTTGCCATTAAAAAATAATACAAAGGGGCCGGGGATTCAGCTCAGTGGTTTCACCGCCTACTGCGCAAGCACAAGGACCCGAGTTTGATCCCCAGTACAAAAAAAAAAAAAAAAAAAATACAAAGCTGGGAACAGTAGCACATGCCTGTAATCTCAGCTATTTGGGAAGCAGGGGCAAGAGGACCACCAGTTCAAGGCTGGCCCGTGCAATTTGGCAAGACCCTGTCTCAAAATTAAAAATGAAAGGGGCTGGGGATAAATAAAAAAATAAAAATAAAAGGCTTTGTGCAAGGCCATGGGTTCAATTCCTAGTACTGCAAAGAGAAAAATAGCAAACATTGTATAATAATAAAGATATCCTTATTTTAACTTAGACCTGAGATGGCTTAGCAAATATTCTTTATTGAAGGAGACCTTTGGGCACACTTTTTAGAAACTGGTAGGAGGAGTAGATAAAATGGTGAAGGGTTTATTTTTTTTTGGTTACCGGGGATCGAACTTGGGTCCTCGCACTTGCACAGCAGGCGGTGAAACCACTGAGCTAAATCCCCGGCCCAAGAAGGCTTTTTTTGACAAAGAACACATCCAGTTTAAAGGCAAAGAGACAACAGAATTGGAATGGGAGGCTTGACTGGAGCAGCACAGAAGTATGGTTATACAGTAGGAATGTTGGAAAGGAGGCAGATGCCAGATTATAAAGGATCCTGGAAACTGTGCTAAGGATAAGTTTGTTATTGAGCTTTATGATTAAATTTCCCAGTCAACATCTAATGTGAAGAGGAAACAGAGATGGGTCAAAATCACTGCTTTTCTTCAAGAGCCTACAGAGTCTAAACCAGAAGAGAAGAACATAAACAGCTATGAATCAAAGCACAGGGAGTAAAGGCTCAAGAACTGCTTATGTAAAATCAAGGAATCTGTAAGAATGCATGCTATTATTTGGACCCAAATTAGATCTGGTAGGAAACAACCAAATTTGTTAAGAAGGAAACAGGAAAATTGAGCAAAGAGAAGAATAACCTTATAGATTTGTTGTTCTTTTTAACAAAATGCAGCAGCCTTTTAGTGTTTTCCTTACCAAAACCTTCAGAAGTTTCTAGTTTTATACTTCAAGTAAATGAGGAAATAAGTTTGCTTTAAAGGAATTTGAATTGGCTCTTAGCTCTTTTGAATATAAAGATTATGATATGCCTTTAGGTGGCTATTCTCCAACTCCACAAAGGACAGAAAGTGAAGAAATGTTAGTGATGAATATAAATTACTTTTGATATTTCCTTTAGCTGTGAGGATTTTTGTCTTTGGGGATTGTCAAGGGCCAGAAATAGATTATTAATAGAAAAAATAAATTCTCCTACTTATTTTATAATAATGAAAGTTTCATATATACAGATTTAACTAGATAACTCTATGGAGTCGAATGTAAAATTCTACATTCTATCAGGCAACTTGTAAGTAGAGCAGTTCTGTGGTGTTCAGACTTGACCAATCAGCCTGCAGAAAAGAATTAACCCCTGATTTCACTATTGATTTCACACTGCTAGCGTTTTCTTTGTTTATAAGCCTGCAACACTGTTCTCTCTTTCATTCCTACAGCCAACAGACCACCTGCCAAGCTGTGACCCGGAAAACTTTCATCCAAGGGGAATTCCCCGAAACTCAACACATAGTAATGGATGAGACTGAGAATTTCTGCAGTAAATATGGGGATTGGTATGTGAAAGCTAGGAGCATCACCTACCCAAAGGTGAAGGGGCCTGGAAGTGAAAACCTTCACTATGGGATCCTCTGGCTTTTCCTGGACCCTTTCCAAATCCATCATACAGATGTCAGTGGCCTTCCTCCTCCTTCTGCTCAGTTTCCTCGGAAAACAATCACCAATGGGGTCCACTGTGCTCTGGAAATAGCAAAGGTCATGAAAGAAGAAATGAACAGGATCAAAAGAAACCCTCCTTCTCACATGTCTCCAGACACATTAGCATTGTTCCAGGAAGATGCCTATGAGGAAGCCATGTGTGCCCAGGCTCTGCCTGGGGTATATGAGACAAAGACTAACCTGACAACAGAACAAATAGCCAACTATGTGGCAGAAAGATGTCACAGCCTGTTCCAGTGCGGCTATTTGCCCAAAGATGTGGCAATTTTGTGCAGGAGAGGAGAGGACCAAGGGCGTTATAAACATGCACTGCTAAGAGCAATGAAATTAATTAAGACCCATGGAGCAACAGAGGTTGTGTTCAGCCAGGCTGCTGGTGTTCACGGCGATGGCATTGTTTTAGATAGTATTTGGCAGTTTTCAGGCCTGGAGAGGAATATTGTGTTTGGGCTCAGTCCAGAATGTACCCAGTCAGAGGAGTTTCATAAGCTCTGGTTTGCCTCAAAAGCCATTAAACACCTCTACCTGCTTTATGAAAAGAGGGCAGCCTTCTGAAAATCCTTTTGAATGACACAGAAAGCCAGGGAGAGCAGCTACTCCCAGGCAGCTACTTCTTTTTACTATTGCAAGGAAAGAATGAAGGCACATCGATCTAGCCTGGAGCTGCAGAAATGTCTCCTAGGGCAGATCCTTCATTCCCAGTCCACTTCTCCTCCCTGTACAATTATAGCAGACTTATAATTGGTCCCCTGCTTCCTAGCCCAGTCCAGTTTTCATCTTGTCATTCAAAGAATTTATCCTCAAGTAGAGAACTGCTTTTATGTAATTCTCTGCTAACATACCACCAGTGCCCCAACTTTCAGACCAAACCAGTTCCCCAGGCTTTCTGTGATGTGCTCTGACCTACTCTCCTAATCACATCTTTGGTTATAACTCGTCTTCAATGCACCCCAGCTTCACTGGCCTATTTTGTAGGTGGTGGTAGGGTGTCCTCCAGTCTAATTATTTGACTCAGAGCTCCTAGCATCTCATACTACCTATAAGTCTCAAGCTTTACAGGTCAAGAGCTTTTTTCTTCTTTACAAGTCTAGATCAGTCTCTCAGGGATGGCTTTTTGCTAACCAAACTCACAAAAGCCCAGCACGTAAATGAAAAAGCCACTCTGTTAATTTACAGTGAGGATTGTGGTAACAAGTGGGCATGTGGCTTTTGCTAATCTGTGAATTCAACAATGTAGGGAGTGCAGTTATACAAGCAGAGCCTTTTGGTAAAGGAAGCTGATCATCTAATTCCAATGTAAGAAGTATTCAGGGTATATGAGGCTATTATTCCTATAGTTAGCATCTGTCAGTCATCACAGAATCATCTGACTTTTCTGGAAATAATGTGAATTTCTTGATCTGCAAAGCTCAGGATCAGATTCTGGTCAGATTCCTGACCCACCCAAGGTCAGGCTTTCCCAACATTAATGGCCAGGAAAAATGTTGCATCTTGGCTTCTCCCAGTACAAGCTTGGAGATATTTCCTGGTGATTTGAAATGTAAAGTCTCCACCATCCTTCCTTTAAAGCCTCTTAGAAATATATGTATAATATCAGAGCAGATCTCACTGGTTACCAAATAAAACGGATATTTAGAGAGTTCCAGGGACAGTATTTTCCTTCGAAATCTACCTCTCCTACAAGTGGAAGGAGGGACCTTAGGCTACCTCATTAGTGTCTTCAGTTGAAAGAAAGCAAACCTGATTTTGAAACATATAGGATCAATTTTCAGTTTTGTTCCTTCTTTCATTCTCAGCCTAAAAGAAGTGAAAATTGAGGAAGTAAAAGACAGCCATTATGTACTTTCCTTTATTGGTTATTACTTCAGAATTATCTCGGCCATTTGCATTTGAAATTCACGTTCTTCCCTGTTTTAATCAGGAAAGGCTGTCTTCTTTGTCCAGTTGTACGGCCTGGAAGAGGCAAGTGGAGATAGAGAGGGGGCTAGACAGTGAGAGAACCAAGGGCTCCTCTCCTAGCCAGGCAGACTTGACAAATAAATCCTGCCAGCCAATGGCTAATACATCAAAATACTTCTTTCTATAACTCCATTCCTGTCTCCTCTGATATGTATATAGCTATGTATATGTATTAGCTAATACATATTTATATGTGTATATATATTAGCTAATATATATTTAATGTATATATACCAGCCGTTATGGCTTGTGTCTAGATGTCGCTCCAAAGCCTCATGTGGTCTAGGTGGAGCTTTTTCACAGATGGCTGAATCTAGAGTGTGTGACTGATTCATGGTGCAATGCTAGAATTAAGGGTGGTAAGATTAAGGGTGGGTAATTACCAGATCAGCCCACTGATTGGTTTGCCACTGCCCTCGTCCAGGTAACCTAGATAGAATATAAGAGGGGCATAAAAAAGCTGGTAAGGTCCATTGCTTGCTTTCCTACCTTCTACCTGCCATGAACTATTTCTCTTCTTTGATGCCTGTCTGCCGTGCCAACTTGTCTTGGAGCCAGCCGATTATGGACTGAAACCTCTACAAACTGTGAACCCAAATAAACCTTTCCTCCTTTAACTTTAGGTGTTGGGTATCTTCTCTCAGCAATGTGAAAAGTAACTAAGACATTAGCTATGTATATGTATCAGCTAATATATACTTAATATTTACTATGTGTCAAGACATTGTGAAAATTACTTTAAATATAGCTTTTAACCTTCCAGCCACTCATTGAATTATATACAGTAGCCCCAAATAAGGTAAGGTAAGCTAGTTTGAGTCCTAGGGTCAAGTTAACCCTGGCCTTGAATTCTTTTTTTTTTTTTTTCCTTTTGGTACCTGGGATCGAACTCAGGACTTTACACCTGTGACACAGGCGGTGGCACCACTCAGCTAAATCCCCGGCCCTTGAATTCTTCTTACTTGGGTGGATGACCTTGGGCAAGTTACTTTATCTCATTAAGACTCCACTTTCTCATCTGTAAAATACAGATAAAAGTTCATACCTATGCCTGGAGATAAAGGTGAGGATTGAAATAAATACTAAATTTGAATAAAGTCTGATATGTTGAAAACTGTCTGTAAATGTGGGCCTTTATTGGTTCTAATTTATAGTTAAGAAAACTGTGACTTAAAAAGTAAATGCCTTACCCAGGAACAAGAACTAGAAAATCCTGAACCCAGGATCTGAATCTAAACCTATTTGATTCAAAAGTCCACTTTAGCTTCTATATTCTTTTGCCTCCTGTACGTCAAAGTGAAAGACCTGAATCTTCATATGGACAGTAATTTATTTGATTTCATGTTGAGAAAAGGATCAGATGTATTTAGAATATTTGTGACTTTAACCTACTTGGTCATTTTTAGTTTCTAGAAGTTTTCTCCCAAATCAATATGATTCCTCAAATAACTTATACAGCAGGAAATGTTTAGAGAAAAACATTTTCTACACTGAGAAACTTTGAAAAATTGAACTTTCATTACAAAAGCCATTTAATGACATTACAGAAAGATTAAAAAATAGAGAACCACAAAAGAAAACTCATCCCTATTTTTTACCACTGCACATGCAGTTGTTTTTTCATCTTTGCTTATTCACTTCTGGTGTTAGTCTGTCGGCAGAAATATTTCTGCTGAGTTGTAGTCATGGTGTCCATTCCATTTTGTATCCTGTTTGAGTTGATCATCTGGTGGCCCTTTCCCACTTTGCAGTCTCCCATATGGTGAGTGGAGTCTATAGCGTAATCTAGGGAAAGATAGTTCTCAGTGCCTTTACGCAGGGAAGGGTGATTCTTAGTGCAGCAGAGCCTCTTGTGTTCCAGCTGGTTTCCTGGTGCAGCCTGAACTCAAGCCTTTGAAGAGGAAGAGGATGATGTGTAAGCAGAGCATGAAAAAGCTCTTCACAAACTCCATAACACATGGAGATAATGCTGGGGGGGGGGGCTCAGTGACAAAGTGACAAAGTTAGGATGGAAGCATTCTTCTCTCCTTGTTTCCCACAGCTCACTGTGAGAAGCAGTCATAAGTGCTGTGCTCTTGTTGAGGAGTGACACTTGCCAGGTGCAGGACCCAAGAGCTCTGGCAAACAAATCTCTGCTTGCCCAAAGCTACTACAGAGTGGCAGAATGCATCACCCTAAAATGTGTCATTATTGCATTAGTTTGAAGTAAAGGCAGATGCAAGAAGGCCTTTCTATCTTTTTTTCTTTCCGGTTTTTTTTTGGTACCGAGGATTGAACTCTGGACCTTGCGCTTTCGAGGCAGGTGGCGGAACCATTCAGCTAAATCCCCGGCCCTCTTTTTTCTTTCTGAGGACTGGAGAGAAAAATTCCTACGTGAAAGATGTCCTATCTGTAGAAAAGAATCATTCTTTGATGGAAATCACAGCTCAAAAGTTCTGTATAAACAGACCTTGTTAAAATAATTCTTTCTTGGGCCAGGGATTTAGCTCAGTGGCACTGCTCCTGCCTCATAAGCACAAGGTCCTGAGTGTGATCCCTAGTACTGCAAAAAAAAAAATTCTTCTCTTTTTTTCTTTTCTCTTTCTTTATTTTTTTGTATTGAGGATTGAGGCCACAAATGCTAAGCATGCACTCCACCATTAGGCTAAACGACCAGCCCCCAAATAGTTCTTATCTTTTTTTGCTTCCACACATAATTTCATTTCTGTTATCACTCTTTCTTTGACCTATTATACTAGCATTCAGGCTTTACCACCTCTTTAGATTTTCATTTTCTGATGGGGACTCCTACGTGTATGTAGAGATCTGTATGGTTAAGGCTGGGGGTGCAGATCAGTGGTAGGGCCCTTGCCTAACATTCATGGGGGCATGAGTTTGATACACACACACACACACACCACACACAACACACACCTGTATCCTCTTCACCTTTTCATTTGTCACATGTCAATTAAATTCTCAGGCCCAGAGATATTCCCTAGGGGAATCTTTTGAAATGCTGTTTGTGTTTCCCATATCTAAGACCTCTGAAAATTTGGTAACCCACAATGAGTATCTTTGGGGATGCCTCCTACTTACGTCTATGGTTAAGCTATGAGATGCTCACTGCTTCTGAGCCATGAAAACCTATTGCTTTAGAGTCATCATTAAGATAGGCATACCTTTAAAGGTTTGGAATTATATCTAAGAAGGGTTTCTAGAGAGCTCTCATCCTAAACAGACATCCAGATGAGATTGAAAGGAAAATATTAATAAAGTACAGACGGAATCAACTTTTACATAAATTAGTAAATTTTATGTTTCTGTATTTGTGCTTAATTTACAGCTAAGATTCAAAATGAAAACTGTATGATATCTGTTTCTGCTCCTGTCTGTATGTTTATTCCTGTGTATGTGTGTTATGTACAGATGATATTTTTCTGTCTCTGGATAAAATTTCACCATCGTTTGATAGTCCAGGTCAACATACCTGAAGAGAGGTCCTAGAATCTGTATTTAGAGGTCCCTAAAGATTCTGACTAGCAGCAAAGATTAGGATCTAATTATCTGGTTCATGACAGCTCTAATTCAGTTCCCTCTGGTGCACAACAATGTTCTTCATAGTTAAAAATGATGACTAGATCAATTCTCACAATCCATAAAGATGGACACTCATAGGAAATTGAACAAGAAACCGAACAAGGGGCCGGGGATTTACCTCAGTGGTTCTGCCGCCTGCCTCACAAGCGCCAGGTCCTGAGTTCGATCCCTGGTACCAAAAACATAATAAAAGAAAGAAACCAAAAAAGGCATGGTATACCCTGTAGTCTCAGTTACTCGGGAGGCTGAGGCAGGAGAATCACAAGTTCAAGGCTAACGTGGGGAACTTAGTGAGTCCCTTTGGGGACAGGGGAGAAGAGAGAGCTCTGGGGACACAGCTCAGCACTTCCTGGATCCAATCCCTGTTAGTGTGTGTGTGGGGGGGGGGGTCATGAGGCACACTGGGCAATTCTCTATCCCACACTAATAGTTCTTGCTTGCTTTGCTGCTGCCCCACCCCCTTTTCTTTACTGACCAAAGTATTTCTTGGGTAACTCTGACTTGTTATCTCTGACCAAAGTGAAACCTTCCCTCTTTCTCCATCTTCTTTCCCTTTTATTCCACCCCCCAAGGATAAAAAATTTAATGTGCATGGCAAAAAAAAAAAAAATTTTTTTTTGTAGCATTGTTCTTTGGGATGTTTAGAGTATTTCTTCTTCTGATAAACAATTTCCGTAGTCTGAAGGCAGAACTCATTAGCCTTTCACTCATACACTACCACGGCGAATTCACATTTCTAATAGAGAATTCAGGTTTTTTTCTGGCCAGAAGGGTGGGCATAACAGGGGAAGAACCTTCTATTTAGAGTAACTAACTTTTTTTTTTTTTGAAGATGGGCAAATTCCAGTTTCATTTTCAGAGAAGCATGTGTTTAGCCTTCTTCCTGGGCTTGCTTTCTGCAAAGGGCTCTTCTTCCCCCTGACAGTTACAGCTGCCTGCAGTCCAGCTTCAGACTCTGGGATAGATTTGGCCTCCTGCAGCTTTCTCCTCCTTTCAGCACGCAGATCCTGTGGAATCTTTACATTGCCGAGGTAAGTACTGTACAGACTGCCTGGAGAAACCCAAGCCATGGTTATGCAATAGAAAGGATGGTCTCAAAAAGAGCCCACGTTGGGGAAAAGGGGAGTGGAAGGGAGGGAAAAATAATTAAGATGTGTTATGTACATGTACCAGCTCCCGACAGGGAATGTAATCATTGTGAATTACGAACGTGAACAAATAAATTTTTATTAAAAGAGAGAGAGCCCACAGAACTCTCAGATGAAAATCCACCGTGCTGCTAGAGACCCTTCCAGATATATTTACTTAGGCAAGAGAGGCTGAGGGAGACACATGAGGTCACATTTTTTCTAACTGCCTGAAGTAGACAATGAGAAGTGGCCCTTAGATGGGACTCACTTTTAGCTGAAGCCAGGGGTGCAAGATTCCAGCCCCAGCAAGCTGGCCGAGGTCTCAGATTGAGAGAATTATGCAGGATTTTCAGATGGGTGGTGGGAGGAGCTAGAGCTTTGGGTGGAAAGGAGGCCTGTGAAGATATTTTATCAATTACCCAAGTGGTTGCTGTCTATAAAAAAAGAGTTTTCCTGTTTCTTTATGATTCACCCACTGTTTTGTATTTGGGAGAATGAAGCTTTCTTGATTGGGAAATTGTGACCTAATTGGGTTTTTGAGGTTATTTTTAGACATCTTTCAAGAAAAGATTTTTTGGGGGCCTGGGATTTAGCTCAGTGGTTCCAGCGCCTGCCTTGCAAGCACAAGGTCCCGAGTTCCATCCCCAGTACAAAAAAAAAACAAACAAAGAAAAGATTTCTTCCCCCTAGTACTGGGGATTGAAGCCAGGGCCACTGAGCTAAGTTTGCAGCCCATTTCATTTTGAGATAGGGTCTCACTAAGTTGTCCAGTCTAGGCTTGAACTTGCAATCCTCCCGCCTTTGCCTCCCAGAATGCTGAGATTACAGGTGTGTGCCACCACACTGGATAGACATCTGGTTATTCATTTTAAACATTAATTAAGCCAGATACACGTGAAAGCACTGGTGAGTGAATTTGTTCAACTTTTTTTTGTTGTTCAACTTTAATGAGTTGCTTCATTAAATCATTTTAGAGATGAGACACGAGTGATTATATAATTATGAATAATTCAGCAGGTAGGCAGTGGAGAAATGTTTGCCACTCTGCAATAAGAAAATGATTACCTATTACATATTTATATTCCTAAATGCAACATATATCTGGATATTTTCTCTAAGCATCAGTTGCCATACTCATTTTAGCTATGTAAATATGTTTCTATTACTTTAACCACAAATGTCAGATGACTTTTTTAGCCTCAAATTAAATGAACTTTTTCAGTCTTTGTGTACCAGAAACCACTGGAGACCATAACAGCAGCTTTGAGGTGTGTGTGTGTGGGGGAAACGAGTCAGAGAAGGAATCTACTCCTGATTCCAGAGTCTGAGTAGGTCTTAACTGCAATCCTCCTGCCTCAGCCTCCTGTGTCCTGGGGTTATGGTGTGCAACACCATACCTGGCTCAAAAATCTTGATCCCAGAATTGGAAAGGAATTTTTGTTGGGCTACTCAAGGTTTGGCATATATCCTGGTTCTTTCCTCACATTTGTATCTTGCTTCTCTCTTTCATTTTTTGGCTTACCTGCTTGGTTTTTTTCTTTTTTTAGGGGAGGTACTGGGGATGAAACCCAGGGCCTTGGGTATGCTAGGCAAGTGCTATACCATTGAACTACATCTCCAGTGCCCAATTCTCTTTTTTTAAATTTAATTTTGAGATAGGGTCTCACTAAGTTACCCAAGTTGCCTTGAACTTGGGATTTCCTGCCTCAGCCAATGTCCCACTATCACACCCAGCTGTATTACTGTTGTTTAAATGGGATCTTACTGTTGCCCAGGCTGACCTCAAATTCCTGTGCTGAAACAATTCTGCCTCAGTCTCCCAAAGTAGCTTGGACTACAGGAGTATGCCACTGTGCCTGGTCAGCTATTTGGGGTTTTTTTTGTTTTTTTTGTTTTTTGGTACTGGGGATTGAACTTGGGACCTTGTGCTTGCGAGGCAGGAGGCAGAACCACTGAGCTAAATCCCCGGCCTGCTATTTGTTTTTAATCAGGGGTAAGAAGCAGTCTCTCATAATTATCTTCTACCAGTGATGGGTTAGGGAAGAAAAGGAGCAATTCAGGCAGCAGGCATAAATTAGTTCCTCCCATCAGTCACTAGATCCCTCTCTCACCTGTGTCTATTTCTCATGTCCACTGTCACCACTTTAAAATAGTTTGCTTTTCTCTTTATTTTTAAAAACCATTCATACATATTTCCAAGTTTCTTAGAATGTATTTAGATGTAACAAAACCTTTCTTGCTAATTATGTTAGAGGAAGAAATCCACTAGTTTCCTATTTATATGATTTTTCTTCAAGTTTGAAAGTAAAGAGAAAAGATTAGGAGCTATCGAAGTTTCTATTTCAAACAAAATAATCCAGACTTTTAGATACAGGAGCTGCAAATATAGAAATACTTATCCAATGAAACTATTTAACATACAATACTTGAAAGTAAATGTACATATGAATAAATATTAAAACTTTGAAGTTCATGTCACAAATGGGATTTTGTATAAATAATTTGACAGTGTTCCTTTAATGGTCATAAAACATAGAGCACAATAAGTTATAAACAAGTCTTATCAAAGGAAACAAAGAACATATCAAAACTATGGGTAAGATTGTAAACAATCTGGGTTCTAAACAATTTTCTTTTCAGAATTCTGTTTCTTTTCCACGCTTGTACCAACCACCCTTTGGTTTGTTCTGGGCTCTTTGTATTTACTTATCTTTAGGTTTTTATTTTTTATTTTTGTGGCACTTGGTTGGAACCCAGGGCCTTACACATACCAAAACTGCTCTACCACCAAGCTACATCCTCAGCTCGAGTTCTTTTTCTTTTTTCTTCTTTTTATTCTTTTTGGTTAGAATCAAGTCAACAACTTTATTATCAGCCACATAACTTCATAAAAAGTGGAACTCAGCAAATGGGTGATAGTCATAAAAAACAAAACAAAACAAAAAACAAAATTCCAGGTTGGTTTCTGTGCTTCCATGTACAGGTGAGAGTAGGGCTCAGTGCAATCAGGTGCAGCAGCTGGATTTCTCAGATGCCCCTTTGCAGATGCAGCCCTGGGCACATTTGTCACAGCCCATGAGGCAGCAGGAGCCGCAGATCTTCTTGGAAAGGGTGCGTTTGCACTCTTTGCAGGTGCAGGAGCCGCCTGCTAGATATCTGAAGTGCAAGTTCGTGTTCTCTAAAATTGAAGAATGAATTCTAGGAACAACAGAGGTTAAGAGTAGGAAAAATTTATTGAGAGAAAGAAAGCTTCCATCAAAGAGAGACAGAAGGGGGACCAGAAAATGGGTTGCCCCTCGAGTTCTTTTTAAATAATGAAGATGAGAGTAGTTTGCATGTTCCAAGGCAATCAGAGAAGAAAAATTACCTGGAAAGTACTTTTTCTGCTGTTTTTCCAGACTTTCCAAATTCTTATGTGTGCATACAGTCCTGCTTCTGGGTGTGGCAGATGACAAACTCAGCTCAAGGACCATCTGGGGAAACCTGGAAGGATCTTAGGAAACAAGAACCAAGAACTCAATATGCAAAAAGACAGATCCCAATTTCCAACTGAGCTGAATTACAACTCACAACCACAGCCCACAGATATTTGTGTTTATAACCCAGGTCAGCTCAGGAAAGTTTAGTGAGGTTGGGGCAGGGGGGAAGAACATCATGTGGATGAACAATTGTTAATCTTTAATTTTAATATATTGAAACAAAACTTTTTTTAATATTTTAGAATGCTATTTTTAAAAAAGAAATATGATTAGAAGATGTGACAGTTAATGGATATATATTTCTGAGAAGATAGATTCTGAAATGCACTTTATTTTTTCTGGACTTATGAAGAAGTTACCACTGATTTTCTTTTGTTTAATTTTATCTTAGCTTCCCCTTCCCAAAGTAGTTGCAAATTGCAACATTACTCCTTAGCTTATCAGTCACAGATAGCATCACATGGTTTGCATGTTTTGGATTAAAAATGGGAATGGAATATATAGATATTTCCAAAAATCTAGAAGAAATAAGTTCATATCTTTTTACTACCAAGCAATGATAAATGTCTGAGGAGATAAGACATATATTTGAGCATTGATTCGAGCATTACACAATGTATACATACATCAAAACAACTAAAATTGAAACGTTCCATAAATAAGCACAATTTCTGTGTCAGTTTAAAAAATAAAGTAAAATAAAGTGGAATTGAGGCAATTAAGAAAAGAGAAATAAGGACCAAAACGTGTAAGAGATAATATAAAATAAGAAGAAAAAGTCCAAAAGGGAAGGGAAAGTGGGGGGGGGGGGTGGAGGAAAGGAAAGAAGAGAAGGGAATAAAAAGACAGAGAAAAAAAGAAAAGAGAATATTTAATCCAAGGGACAAGACAAGAACAGGAAGTTAGAGGAAAGTGGCAGGAAGATAAAAGACACATCTGTACATGTGAAAAAGGAATTTTGTGAAAGCCTAAATTGGAAAGAAACTTTCATATCAACATAAGAAAGGATGTGATAATAGAAATAAATGGATCAAACTGGCCCCTGCACCAACCTCTAGTGTGGCTACCAGCTCAGGGCAACTGTTGAGTGCAGAATCTTCAAGGTGACTAGGGGGAGGGAAGGGGAATGACCCACCACTGCATCTCTAGGAATTAATGTCAGGCATCTGCAACTCAAAAGAGACTCTCTTTCCCCAAATTTCAAAGAATTCCACATCTCCCTTTCCTCTCTTCCCAATCCCCCTTCAGCACACATTACAATCAGTTTGGTCTTGAATCCTGTCCTGGGTCAGCTTCCATCATCCAAGCTGCCCATTCCTTTGTGGCCAGCTGTCTCACTGAGTTGTCTTTCACCTGCCAGGAGCTAGGCACTTTGGCAAATACTGCACAGCAGAATGGGTCCACTTTGACTGCAATGATATATCCATGGAGGGTCTCCTCACTGAGTACTTCAAGGAAGTTGATGTCATATTGAATGTTATGGCTCTGTGTTCAGAAATGATGGCAACTTCTTTATACAGCCAACAATAGAATCCCACAAGGTGACAGGATTTATTTTCTCTTTTTCACATCCAACAACTTGGTGAGTCTCATTGTGCACACTGAAGAAGACATATCCTTCTTCATTACTGGCAAATGCAGAAACATACTTGAGAAGTGTCTCTTTTACATGTTGTAGCAGGTCTGTTGAAAACATTTGGAATTCAACATTGCTGGACTCAGTAGAGGTTTTCCAGGTACTAAAGCTGAGGTCTATTAAATAAAGCATTTGCCAAGTTCCTCATGTCACCTTCAACTAGTACACTAACCCCAGCTACCTGTGGACTTAACAAGTTATGATCAGAATTATTCATAGGAGGCTGAGTCTTCCCTCTAAGGAATGCCAGTGCTTCCTGAGAATCCATGACCTCAGTAGATGTTCCAAGCCTCTGGTACAAACTGGAGCACAAAGTGGCGAGTCCTAAACCAGAGGCCCTTTTGTTCCATGATTTCAAAAATATTAAAAAGAGGTTTCCCTGTTGCATCTCATCTAAGTGGCTTCCGAAAAGTGGAGGCAGATCCAACCCTACTCCATGACTTTTATAATGATAATCTTCATTTTCAATCTCAGCCTTGATCACTCCCCCACCAGAATTCAGCAGAGCACATACTGCTTGCAAGATAGCTTCATTCTGTTTCTCACAAAATAGAGGGTTCATTCTCAATCTTTGCTCAGTCCCAAGAGTGGCTTTTCCTGTATCTATAACACACTCAGCAAAGTTGGTTTCCAAATCAATCTTGAGACTCATTTTGGCTCCTGGCTGATTATCCTGAAATGTTCTCCTAAAACAAGAAAGATAGAATCGTTGGAATAGGATAAGAATAAAGGAGGCAGGAAAAGGAACAATTGCAGACCCATCCCTCTGAAGAAGGTCATTTCACTTATTCCACATAGATTTGTTCAAGAATGAAGTATATAGAACAGGTGCAGGAGCTAAGTCTGATGAATGTCCACTGCAGCATGAAAATGACCATGAGGTTATGTTCTGCTGTAATACCATTTTTGCCAAGTTCTCTGAGTAGCAAGGCCTTTTGGGTCACCTGTAGAAAATGGAACATTTTATAATGATACTTGTAGGCTGGAGCTGGAATGTAACCAGAAAAGCTTCCTGATCAGCAGTGTCTCTGAGATGTATTGATGGTTATTGTTTTTCTTGGCTCTGTTTTTCTCCTCTCACTGAGACCTGGGTAATTTTTGTATTATTTTGTAGTCCAGTTGGATGTAACAAATACAATTGCATTGTTAATGTAACACTGTTGCTATGAAACAGATCTCTAGCAACCCCTGATCTAATTCCCATCTGGTAAAATCTACGTGTGTACATAAATAGATACATAAATGTGTATGCATGTGTATGTACATACTAGCTCTGTTTCTCTGAGTAGGGGCCACAAGGGGTAGTTTCAGCTAGAACAAACATACATAGGCAAGATTGAGTAGAGCACCTCAGCACCAGAATGCAGTTTGGTCCACATTCAGCTTGCTGCATAGTAACTGCATAAAACCAAGTCATGCAAAAAGAGTGCATGACTCCAGGGGAGGAAAAGAAGATCCAGTAGGTAGTAAATCATGGGTACACACGGCAAACATTAGCCAAAAGAGCTCAGACTGATGTTAGGATATTACCAGGAAGAGCCATATGTCCAACCTGCCAAGAACTGCCACTAGAATGGTAGGTCCTTGAAAAATTTACCTGTATCCCAAATCTAGTCTTGGCCTTACAGGACCACAAAATTGATCGTTTTAGGACTCCAAAGTTAGGAAGTCTGAGGAAAGCTGATTTTCTACCAGATTCAAGTATACAAGCCACAGTGATAACTGATTACTGCTGAGTGAGAAAGGTAATATCACAGAGCTCAGGCATCTGTCACTATTTTCTTGGAGGGTCATGAAATACATACTCACTAGGGTTTGAGGTATCAGTATTAAAATATAAACAATGACCTTTTGGCAGTTGCAAACTCATTCTCTGATAAAACTTTAAAAACAGTTGCTTTGGCGTTAGATGCAACTGCAGTTGAAACTTTGTAAGTTTGTCTGTCATTTGTTTTCTATTTAAGTCTGTTTTGTTACAGATCACCAGTTGTTTTTGCCCTAAATGGCTAGGTAAAGTCTGTGTGGTTGGCGACCACACAACGCTTTATGCAGGGGCAAGAAGTGCACATGGTAGGGCTGAGGATTTAGCTGAGTAGAACCGCACCTGCCTCAGAAACACAAGGTCCTGAGTTCAATCCCCAGTACTTATGATTTTTAAACTTTACATTGATGTAAGTAATACACATTCAGTAGGAACCATATTTTGAATTTTGAATTTTGAACTTTTAACCAGGCTAGCAATATGCAGTACAGTACTCGGGATGCCAGGCTGTAGCAGTAGCAACAGTTCCCAGTCAGCCACATGATCAGGAGGGTAATCAACTGATACTGTACAGTGTACTGTGCTGCTGAGGTGTGATGTTGGGGAGATTAGGTGTGATAAATACTGTATCTTCGACTTATGATATCTTCAACTTAACAATGGGTTTATCAAGATGAAACCCCATCATAAGTGGAAGAGGCCTGTATATGTTATAGCAGGAAATGTCTTCAGCCAATACAAAATGTATAGGCTTTTCTGGGAACTCTTTCAAATGAGGTCTGCAAGAACTATAGAGTGTGGTCCAGTAGTGGAAGCATAGATCTCAGAGTCTGGATATTTTTGGCACTGTGAAACCTTGGGTAAGTCGTTCTTTGAGTCTGACTTTTTTTTTTTTTTGAATGGTATATATTAGGGGGAATTTTTTTTTTTTTTTTTGGTACCAGGTATCGAAATCGGGTCCTTGAGCTTGCGCAGCAGGCGGCGAAACCACTGAGCTAAATCCCCGGCCCAAGTCTGACTTTTTTTGACTGTGAAGAATACAAGTCTCAGGCCAGGGATTTAGCTCAGTGGCACTGCGCCTGCCTCGCAAACGCAAACTCCTGAATTTGATCCCTGATACCAGAAAAAAGAATACAAGTCTCAGAATTACGAAGATTTAATGAGTTAACAATGAACACATTGAAACATGGTAAGGATTCATGGACGCTAGTGTTCTTAACACTTTGAATTCAGAATTAATGTGATCTTATTTTAGTAAGATGAAAATAGAAACTCAGTTAAAACATAATATAAGCACTCATAGGAAATACTTTATAAAGTGATTTTACTTATACCATATCAAATATGAATAAATTCACGCAGCGATGAAGTACGTATTTTAGGTTTCATAAACTCTAAACAAATGAATTTAATTAGATGTGACTGGATTAAAGGTCACTGAGGCTTTACTTTATAAACTGCTTCTGGGAAAAGGAAATAATTGCAAAGTAGTTTCAAATTTGAAAGCAAAATGGGTGAAAGTCCATGGATGAAAGAACCCAGGTTTTCTATCATGAGGCACAAGAAGTCACATTGGAAATGGACTCACCCTTACTTGACTTTCGTATGCTGTGTTCACATATTGGCACTTCCTTTTATTCTGAGGTTCTCAAACAAAAACAAAACATAGCTTCTATAACAGCTGGAGAAACTTTCTAATGTTCACTAAAACGAAACTGATTTTATACTTCCTATGTGTGCCACTCCCATTGAAGATCAAAAAATAACAGCAGTGGTATAGTACTCAGAGGAATTTTATGGCAGTGAAAAAACTAATCTGTATGATTTTACAATGATAGATACATGTCCTTTTGCATTTGTCAAAAACCATAGCCTGTATACCACCATGAGTGAACACTAATTACACTACAGATTTTGGATGATTATGATGTATGGGTGTGGTGTAGTCTCAGTTGTAAGAAAAGTATCATTATGTTGTGGGCTATCACAGCCGAGAGGTTGACCTTGTCTGGAGACAGAAGGTATATGAGAACTCACTCCTCTCCATTCAGTTTTGCTGTGAACTTAAGTAATAAAGTTGATTATTTTAAAAATCAACAACAAATAATTTAAGTAAGCACATTCCTCCCCCAAAAAGGAAATAAGCCAAGGCACTTTGTGTGTGTGCACTGTGGCCATTTAAGATCAAGAACCAACCTCAGTGATTCAGTGCTCAAAGTACAGAATTTTCCCATGTTGATGGAGGTGGAAAATGTATTACACTGCTCTGCCACATTGTCTATTTATTTTGTTATCTATAAGGTCTATATGAATCACTGGGAGATCTTGTTTAAAAATGCAGATCTCAGGACAAGGATGTAGCTCAGAGGTCCCACGACTGCCTGACAGGCACAAGGTCCTGAGTTTGATCCCCAGTACTGCAAAAAAAAAAAATGCAGGTCTGATATCCAGCACTTCTAACCAGTTCCCACCTGCTGCTTGGGGAATTTAGAGGACCCTGGGCAAACATGCACTCCCTCTTTTGCCTAGATCACTGACTCTCCTGCAGGCCCCAAGATTCACCATTAAAGTGCAGTTCTTTACATTTTGAACATATTTCTCTGTTCAAGTGTGTATATTAATCAGCTTCTTGTCACTATAATGGAATACTTGATGCAGACTAATTAAAAAGATAAGGAGGCTTATTTAGATGACAGTTTGGGAGATTCAAGGATATGGTGCCTTGATGGACTCAGTTCTGCCATGGTGGATGGCAGAACCACTGAGCTAAATCCCCAGCCCTAAAAACTGTTAATTTAAGATACCACAGCAAAGATGTTTCTGTTCTCCTTTTGTAAATGTCCAAGATATGAATGAGAAATGGAACACAGGGTTAAGGAACTACCAGCAGACTTTCACTGGGTGTGGCCAGCAGAGCATGGGGCCCTCTTGGGGGTCTTACAGACCCTGAGGAGAAAATCCAATGAACAATTGTTTGGATCAACCAAAATGAAGGGCCAAGTGGGGCTTTGGAATTTATTTACCACCGTGTTGACCTCAAGGATCGGCAAAGTAGACCTCATCTTTGCAATCAACCTTAGGGCTGAAAAACATCTGTGAGGGACAAACAGCCTTGCTGCGGCCAATATTTAGCCACTGAAAACAAGAAAACTACACCAATAACATCACAAAGTAACCAACATCATTAAAAGATCCTGTACCATGCCCATATGAATGGTCATGCCAAGGTAAACCATGAGCATGGTTCTAACCCAAAATGATAACATCATATTGGCAGGATGTGGGAAGAAGGTGACAGAGAAGGAGTGTAACTAAGCTAAACCTTCTGGAAACAGATAAAAATCTACTTAAAATCAAAAGCTGCACCATTTAGAGATAAATACCAGAAGAAACATCAAAATAGTCTATCTACCCTGGCAGCAGAAAGAGGATGGGATGGAAGATTGCTGATTTTATACCAAGCCTTTTAGAACTATTTAACTTTTAACACTATGCACATGTACAACTTTGATTTTTTAAAATTTGTAAATATTATTACCTTAAAGGTCTGGAAAGAGCTCGGCGCTCCGAAGACCCCGGAATGGCGCCGCCCCGCCCGCGCCCCCCCCCGCCCCCCGCCCCAGCCAGCCACCTACCTCGGCCGGCAGAGGGGGTGGGCACAGTCGGGAGTTTTGCAAACTTCTCCCCGCATTGAGTCTTTCGCCTCTGGGAAGTTTAGAACAGGAAAGAGTGGGCGCAATGGGGAGCGGGACGCCAGGATCCCCCCTCCGTGCCTTGCAGGCGCGCTGGGGCACCCGGCATCGACCCGCGATGCCTCGGCTGCTACTGCTGCTGTTCCTGCTGCTCCAGACGCCGCCGCCCCGGGGTGGGGGGGCTTCAACTTAGACGCG